TCTGGGTACCTATTTACGTTGTCGGATGGAGAATGTGACGAGGGTCATTGTCGGTGACGTCGTGACTACTATAGATGACGATGACGTGTTGAGGCTTGACGACTAAACCACATACCAGAAAATGAGGAGACAATGACGTTTCGATCCGTCCTTGACCGTTATCGATTGTGTCGACACGGCCACCCGTCTCAAAGCAATTGAGACGGGTGGCCGTGTGCTCACGTCCTATGCTCCTCGTCCACTGGGGTGCCGGTGTTGTGCCAGAGTTGTGAGGTGAGCCTGTTACTGGTGAGGTTTTTCCTCATTTTCATCGGCCAGAGGGACATGCGGACGGGTGGAACGGTCAGTTATTCCTTGCGTGCCGGGTGCTAATGTGGTGCCTGGGATGACTGGGGATGTTGTCGTGTCTCCTGCTTGTCAAGAAGTTGCTCGTCTCCTGCTTTCCTATTGTTGCGTCAGATGATAGGTAGTGGGATTTGTGCAGCGCGACCAACGGGGGAAATGTCCAGAGAAGCCTATGTTGTCCTGGACCTGAAAAATACCGTCCGCCGTGGTGGAGGAAGTAGAGGGGGGTGGGTGAAAGGTACCCAGCAGTGGGTTGATATTTAATTGAGGCAGGTATTTTCTCCCTAGATTCCATGTATGACTAACCATACTGAGATTGGAATATTAGATGAACTTATAGCTAGTTTTTTATCTACACTGTGTAATCTTTCATATAGAACATGATAGCAATACATCGCTGAGTACCATCTTCCTCACCCTGCATACTGATAGGTCATATACCACTTTCCTAGATCTTAAGTCGGCCTTTGACATTGCTAACCCAGACGTCATTCTGAGTGAACTTGCTAAAATGAATGTTGGAGGATGGCTTCTACGGTGGATAAGAGGTTATCTATCCAACAGGAAGTCATCTGTACTGTTCCAAGGGCATAGGAGTGTAACGAGAGATTTTGAACTTGGCACTCCACAGGGAGGTGTCCTCAGTCCTACTCTGTTCAATGTGTTAACTTTTAAACTCGGTAACTAGGAGGCCCAGCGAACACATCATTAACTATGCGAATGACATACTGATCCACACCAATGAGCATACCAACACCCAAAATGTTCTGAACTCTGTATTGCACACATGTCAGGAACTAGGCTTGGTCATCTCAGTAGAGAAAACGAAGATCCTAAACCGACGCCCACCCAGACGGGGTGGGGCCGTTTGCAAGATGTCATCCAACAAGATTAGCAGACTTCTAGATGTTACCACTGCTAGGCTTAGGCTCGGCTACAAGTACCTCTGGGAGTTTGTAACATCTGCTGATGTAGATTTGACTAAATGTAAACTCTGTCAGCAGAACTGTTCGCATACTTTGCGTCATTATATAATGGAATGTGAAAAATCGCGGAATCCAGAGATATTTTGGACATCAATAGTGTCCAAGAAATGTGTAAGTACTTCATTCATAATGATGTACTGCCGGGAATCTTAGCGAAGTATCCAAAATTTGCTTACTGTAGGTGCAGCCTGCACATGACTGTAAAGCTGCCGCCCAGTTGGGTGGGTGTGGAGCACATGACTAAAGCTGCCGCCCAGTTGGGTGGGTGTGGAGCACATGACTGTAAAGCTGCCGCCCAGTTGGGTGGGTGTGGAGCACATGACTGTAAAACTGCCGCCCAGTTGGGTGGGTGTGGAGCACATGACTGTAAAACTGCCGCCCAGTTGGGTGGGTGTGGAGCACATGACTAAAGCTGCCGCCCAGTTGGGTGGGTGTGGAGCACATGACTGTAAAGCTGCCGCCCAGTTGGGTGGGTGTGGAGCACATGACTGTAAAACTGCCGCCCAGTTGGGTGGGTGTGGAGCAAGACTAGTAATTGTGTGACTCACCATAGATGTAAAGTGCCTTGTATAGTAACTGTTGTGAGCCTCTTGTTGAATCACTTGTAATACATAAGATTATTAATGATTGTATTTGTGTGGGCAATTGTATATGTATGTGTATGTATATATGTACATGTATGTATGAGTATGTGTACATGTATATATAACATTAATAATTGTGTAATTAGCGTCAAAAGATTGATATTTGCTTAGCTAAACGAACTGGTAAGATACTCGCCTGGCGTTTCGCAAGCGCCTTGCCTTGGGTTCGAATCCTGGCCGGGGAGGATTGACTGGGCGCCAATCCTTAACTGTAGCCTCTGTTCACCCAGCAGTGAATGGGTACCTGGTTGTTAAACGATTCGGCGGGGTCGTATTCCGGGGAAATTAGGGTTAAGGACCTGCCCGAAACGCTACGCGTACTAGTGGCTTTACAAGAATGTATGTAAAACTAGAGGGTTCGGTTCCTGAACCGATTATGTGCCTCTGTAACCCTTTACACCACCGCCCACGGGATGGGTGTGAGGGTGAATAATAAAGAAAGAAATTGAATTGTACCCAGACACAGCTGGGACTTGCTTAACTGTCTCGAGTGAACAGCTTATCAATCAAAAAGAATAACATTTGTCAACCCTTAAAATCTTACGTTATCCAAAGTGTTTGTAGGAAAGTTAGGGACGGTGTAGGGACTGTAGCAGAGCGATCCGTGGAAAGGTCTGCTTTTCATATAGATTGTCGTCCCACAAAGCCATTAGCAATAACTTTATAGGTCTTAAAAATTTATTTTTGCCGTGAAGGGGCTTAGGAAGAGGTAATCAACTTTCGCAACACCAAAGAATTTTTCAACATTTATATCGAACCTTCAGGTTTTTTATGTTAAATTTTAAACTCTTTTTGCAACAATTTTAAAATTGTTTAACTCTTTTAAAATAAATTATTATTATTTATTTTATTGTATATATAACTAAAGTATTGTTATAACAATATATACAATAAATTAAAATTTGCTTAATGCGGTATCGAAAGCAAATAATAATAATAATAATAACATGGGAAACAATAAATAATAATAAATATATTTGTACGCAGGTAAATGTTCATAATACCAACAAATTAATAACAATATGTTAATAACACACACCAACCAAAGTTCAAGTAAGTTTATTGAGAAAAGGAAGTACAACTCAAAAGGATAGAGCAGTTTACGCTAAATGTAAATACATGTTCAACAAGCATTTTATCATAAACTATGCTATATTTTGTTATAAATAAATTAATATGCCTATCATTATTACTGATATTATTAGTATGTTATTAACAATAATAATATTATTATTAGTGGTACTATTATTTATCTACCTTATAATCCTTCATATAATATACCAGGGGATGAAACTGACCCCACTCAGACTCACTCCTCTCCCGACACCAAGAAATAAAATGTGTAAAATGTGCTTTCAGTGCTGTCAACCTGAAATTACTGACAGCTGAGTGGACAGGGCTTCGGATTCGTAGTCTTGAGTTTCCAGGTTCGATCCCCGGTGTTGGCGGAGACAAATGGGCAAAACGTTTCTTTTACCCTGGTGCCTCTGTTACCTAGCAGTAAACAGGTACCTGGGAGTTAGACAGCTGCTACGGGCTGCTTCCTGGGTGTGTGTAACAAATAGAAGGCCTGGTAGAGGACCGGGCCGCGGGGGGCGCTAAGCCCCGAAATCATCTCAAGATAACCTGCTACTCCAGGCTGAGTGACTAACATGTTAGCTCTTATCCAAGATATCAACTATAAAATGAATATTGAAGAGCTGTTTCGCCAACCAGATACCAGAACACTCAAAATCCGCTTCTCCTCAACAAGCCTAAACTATCCTCTCTTTGCACTAAATATCTCCATCTCCCCCTCACTACGGAGTAGAGAACCTCCTACTACAACCTACAACAGGGTTAAAGGGGCTGTGACTACAACCGTGACACTATGTGAAGCAGAAAGGAACAACTCTGCCCCAAACGAACACCTCGGAGGCATTTGTGGAAAGACTGCTCAAACTCCACACTCGAGTCATGGCTCGTATCTAAGGAGAATATCCCAAATCCAAATCCTGCGTGACGTATACCTGGTTACCTGGTTGATGGGGTTCTGGGAGTTCTTCTACTCCCCAAGCCCGGCCCGAGGCCAGACTTGAATTGTGAGAGTTTGGTCCACCAGGCTGTTGCTTGGAGCGGCCCGCAGGCCCACATACCCACCACAGCCCGGTTGGTCCGGCACTCCATGAAGGAAACAATCTAGTTTCCTCTTGAAGATGATTATACTTGAAGTATAGCTCTGATTAGGGTTCCATAGCACCCATCCACAAACACCCATCACCAAGCATATAAAAAACCTCAATTATACAACAACCACCACCACCTCACACCCGTTGCACCCCACAACCTCTCCTGGGAGATGTTGTTGTTGTTGTTATAGATTTAGCTACTCGGAATAAGTTCCAAGTAGCACGGGCTATGGTGAGCCCGTAGTGGACTTACCTGGCACAGGAGCGGGGCAAGTAGCACGGGCTATGGTGAGCCCGTAACTTACCTGGCACAGGAGCGGGGCAAGTAGCACGGGCTATGTTGAGCCCGTAGTGGACTTATCTGGCACGGGAGCGCTGCTGATTGATTGATGAAGATTAAGCCACCCAAAAGGTGGCACGGGGATGAATAGCCCGTAAGTGGTGGCCCTTTTGAGCCATTACCAGTATCAAGAGCTGATACTGGAGATCTGTGGAGGTGCGACTGCACCCTGCGTGACGGGAGATGTCTCCCGTCGAGCGGTGCTCTGCTGGGAGACCACTTATACTCCCTTATACTCACCGCTCTTCACCGTCAACTCATCCCACAATTGAACAACACTTCTTTCCATCCCACCACAACAAACCACCTAAACCACACCAAGAGCAGCACCCTACATCAACCCAAGTGATGCCTTGAAAGGAGGTGGGTACAGTTACAGCCCCACTACGGGCTCACCATAGCCCGTGCTACTTGGAACTTTTTGTTCCTAGAAGCTGAATCTTAAACAACAACACAACGACGGTGGGTAGGGGTGAGATAGTGTAGTGGAGAGTGGGGTAGGGAGGGAGGAGATTGTGCAGTTGGGGTACAGGGGAGTTTGTGTTGGGGTAGCGGGTGAGATAGTGCAGTGAGGAGGAAAAGACGATAAGAACAATCAGTGCTGTTAATTCTCTCCGTGAGGCAACATGCTCAACACAGGCAGGTGAGAGAGAGAGAGAGAGAGAGAGAGAGAGAGAGAGAGAGAGAGAGAGAGAGAGAGAGAGAGAGAGAGAGAGAGAGAGAGAGAGAGAGAGAGAGAGAGAGAGAGAGAGAGAGAGAGAGAGAGAGAGAGAGAGAGAGAGAGAGAGAGAGAGAGAGAGAGAGAGAGAGAGAGAGAGAGAGAGAGAGGAGAGAGAGAGAGAGAGAGAGAGAGAGAGAGAGAGAGAGAGAGAGAGAGAGAGAGAGAGAGATATAGTTATGGAGAGAGAGAGAGAGAGAGAGAGAGAGAGAGAGAGAGAGAGAGAGAGAGAGAGAGAGAGAGAGATAGAGAGAGAGAGAGAGAGAGAGAGAGAGACAGAGAGAGAGACAGAGAGAGAGAGAGAGAGAGAGAGAGAGAGAGAGAGAGAGAGAGAGAGAGAGAGAGAGAGAGAGAGAGAGAGAGAGAGAGAGAGAGAGAGAGAGAGAGAGAGAGAGAGAGAGAGAGAGAGAGAGAGAGAGAGAGAGTGAGGTTTTGTTTTTGAGAGAGAGAGAGAGAGAGAGAGAGAGAGAGAGAGAGAGAGAGAGAGAGAGAGAGAGAGAGAGAGAGAGAGAGAGAGAGAGAGAGAGAGAGAGAGAGAAGAGAGAGAGAGAGAGAGAGAGAGAGAGAGAGGAGAGAGAGAGAGAGAGAGAGAGAGAGAGAGAGAGAGACAGAGAGAGAGAGAGACCTTGACGTATATATATACTAGGACATTACTAGTCCTACTAGTTATAAGACTAGTAATGTTTGGAACTTACGTAATGCCTCCCTCTCCCCCCACCCCTTAACCTCCCCCAATCCAGGGGCTTATATATATATATATATGCAGGGGCATGCCCGTTCAATGTTGCCAGATTGGGCTACAAATACCGAATTGGGCTACTTTTGAGAGCCCCGCGCTCCCAAATTTTTAATTTCGCTACTTGCTACTTTTTGGGCTAATTTAAAAGCAAGATGTGCTAATTTGGGCTATTAATGTTAAGAATGTACGATTGCGAGTTACATGATAGTAACTAAGCTATAAATAATTGTAATTAATAATAATTGTAAATATTAATTAACACTAAATAATATTATTTAATAAATTAGTCCCAAGTCAATGCAGAGTTTTCTTCCAAGCACAGAAACTTGTAAATATAAATGCAAGATAATGGATAGATCGATAAATAAATAGACAACTTTCAAATATTGCACCAAGTAATGGCGAGAGGAAAAAACTAGACAGTATACATTACATTTGAAATTAATAATGGATGAATGGTAATAAATTGGTGTATGTTTGTATGTATACCAGACAAAGTCCATTTAATGGCAGAATTTAGAGATTTTGTGTAAAACTTTTATATCTCATATTATTAATTATAACAGTAATCGAAAAGTAATAGTTTGTAAATACAAGAGACGAAACAGAGAGCATGAACTTGAGCGATGTGCTGAGTCCATAAGGAGGCCGAGCTTCCAGAAATACCTTCCTGTGATTGGCTGTTGCGGGGAATTCCAACACTCTTTTATGAATAAAATTTAAACTAAGAAATAGGTCCCTGTGCACAACAACAAAGTTGTTGTGAAAAAGAACAACAATTTCTGTTTTGCACCTGACAGAAATCTCCATTTAACTGAATAATTTACTCGAATAAGAGGGCAGAGCAGCGTATTATTATTTGTGTCAAGGCAACCCCCAATAATAACGTCTCAAGTTAGGTAGCCAGCCCAGTTTTATATAACATCTGTTATATCCTGCAATATTTAATTATCACTTTATTTACACTTTAAATACTTAACTCTTCACTTTTTAGGTCGATTAAAGTTGAAACAGAATATCATAAGCAAGGATGGTGTGCTGAATAAAGATGATTTATTAAGTGGATGGCACCTATATTTGATCCCTTCCTGTGATTGGCTGTTGCGGGGAATGCCAACGCTCATATGAATAAAATGCAAAATAAGAAATACGTCATTTTTCTCAATAACCTTGTTATTGTACAAAAGAACAACAATTTCTGTTTTATACAAGACAGAGATTTCCATCTAACTGAATAATGTAGACCAATAAGAGGACGGAGGCATTGTATCGCCGATATTATTTGCGTGAGGCAACCTCCACTGATGACGTCACAAGTCAGGTAGCCAGCCCATGTTTCTGTAACACTCGTTACATCTTGCAGTATTTAATTATCACTATATTAATACTTTTAAATCCTTAACATTTCACTTTTTAGATAGATTAAAGTTGAAGCAGAATGTCATAAGCAGGGATGGTGTGCTGAATAAAGATGATTTATTAAGTGGATGTAGCCTTTAGCTGATCCCTTCCTGTGATTGGCTGTTGTGTGAATGTCAACAAAGAACATCTACCAATGATATGGCATTTATTATGCACCCCATACCCACGTGTGGGGCGGAGCTTGGAACCTCCTACCCGAGCACAACAACCCGCCTTATGGGTTGCTGTTTGGCTATTTATAGTGCGTTGGAAAAAAAAGAGATGGCGCTAGTTGTATTTTGTAGGGTAATTTGTTATAAGTGTAATTTGATGTCAACAGATGGCGTAAGCTGTATCTTATGGCCACTGTTGACCAGCCAGTTGATAGTGTTCTCTTTTGCCGACAGATGGCATCAGCTGTATCATTATTACTTCCAAATTCCCTTTAAACATTGATCTACAAATCCCTTGGCTTATGATAAGGTTTTATACCATTTATGATAAGTATTAGATAACTGGAGTTCCGCAATTACTTTTATTTATCAACTGTTCAGGATATCATCATATAACGTCTGGTTAGGACGTACTGCTCTCGATTGATGAAGATTAAGCCACCCAAGAGGTGGCACGGGCATGAATAGCCCGTAAATACTGCTCTCGTAATATTATTCAGGGGGTGGGGGAACTATCAAGTGAAAGCGCCAAGCCTTTACGACTATATAGCACTCCTAAGGGATCAGGATACGGATTTTGGATGGAACGGGGGAAAGGAATGGTGCCCAACCTCTTGGGCGGTCGGGGATTTAACGCGGACCTAGAGGAAACGAGACCGTCGCTCTACCGTCCAGCCCAAGTGGCTAAGCGTAATATTATTAAAACAACAATTTATGCATATAATAACAGCATTTCACACTAAAAATACTTGGATATATTGAAATTTGGCAGTGAATTCCAATCTAGGAATCTCCTATGACTAAACTGTACTTTTTAATTATTTTTATGTACTTATTACTTATTATTAAATTATTGAGTACTTACTATAATAATTAAATAAATTATTTTATTTAATATTTAAATTATATGATAAAAAATAGGTAATAATAAATCATTGTGTAGGGGGGACAGGCAGCCAGTGTGTATATATACATGTTAGGCTTACACCAAGGTCCCACAAAGGTACCACAAAGGTGCCAAATTAAAGACTGGGAGCTGCCGGGGCGGGCCCAAGGGTTGCTGGCGGCCCTGGCCAGGCTGAACTTCCGCGCCCTTATAATCACCATTGTTTAATAATCTTGACAGGGAGAAACAACTGTAAATATAGGAATAGTTTATTACAACATACACGGTAAAGAAAACAGCTCAGAAACTAAGGAAATAAAGCTGGCGAAAAAACATTAACGTCCACTTCAAGTTCAAGTATGTTTATTGAGACAATAAAAAAAAATACATCTCAAAGGAATAGAGTAGCTTAGGCTATTTCTACCCCCCCCCCCTCTACTTCAAGTCCCTCAAGGGGCGCACAAATTCAGTGAGTACAAATACACGAATCACAATGCAAGAATCCCATTTAACATAGCAGGTTAAAATAGGAAGCACATCATATAAAAGTGTTACAAGTGAGTTACAAGTTACAAGGGAACAAGTGATATATATAATAATATATATATATATATATATATATATATATATATATATATATATATATATATATATATATATATATATATATATATATATATATATATATATGTCGTACCTAGTAGCCAGAACGCACTTCTCAGCCTACTATGCAAGGCCCGATTTGCCTAAGAAGCCAAGTTTTCATGAATTAATATATTTTCTCAATTTTTTTTCTTATGAAATGATAAATCTACCCATTTCATTATGTATGAGGTCAATTTTTTTTTATTGGAGTTAAAATTAATGTAGATATATGACCGAACCTAACCAACCCTACCTAACCTAACCTAGCCTATCTCTATAGGTTAGGTTAGGTTAGGTAGCCGAAAAAGTTAGGTTAGGTTAGGTTAGGTAGGTTAGGTAGTCGAAAAACAATTAATTCATGAAAACTTGGCTTATTAGGCAAATCGGGCCTTGCATAGTAGGCTGAGAAGTGCGTTCTGGCTACTAGGTACGACATATATATATATATATATATATATATATATATATATATATATATATATATATATATATATATATATATATATATATATATATATATATATATATATATATATATATATATATATATATATATATAATATGTGTGTGTGTGTATATGCAGAAATAATATTAATAAAACAATTAACATTGTGTAGTGTACTCTATATATCAAAATATATTACTTTGAAACCCATATCATTCACTAAAAAAAAAAAATGGGCTACTCTAATTACAAGTTCGCTACTTTTAGACCGTCAGTTCGCTACTTTCAGCAATTTAGATCTGGCAACCGTGTGTCCGTTGGTCCGCCAGTACGTGATGGATGAGCGGGGAGGGGACATGCCGCCTCCTCATCCTCCCTAAAATGGTAACTGGCACTGGTGTAAAGGTTGATTGAGATCATGTTTTGCGATGAGTGTGTTGATTTGGTTGCATCCTGAGGACGGTCAGTAGTTGGGATTGTGGGGCCCTAGATAACCGTATGAATAATGAATATAAATAAATAAATAAATATGTTTATTCAGGTAAGGTACATACATACAAGTGATGTTACATTATTGGATTGATATGTGAAATCAATGAGTCAGGACAAGGATCAAAATCAATGAGACAGGACAAGCCTTCCTGTCCTCGACAACAATGGGAATAATAACTTTTCTCGAGTAAATACTGACGCCAGATGGCCGACGTGGCGTCAAGTGAGGTCTACCATATTGAAGACTTTATCGTCTCCTTCAGGATGATGATGTGGTTGGTGGTGGTGGCGACGGTGCTGGCCGCCTCTACCGCAGAAGGCGACGACGGAGAGCCATCTCGCCAGTTAAATTACACTCGTGCTGGGCCGGTGGTGGTAGAGACGTTGCAAGGAGCGGTGGAAGGGATCCAGGAGATATCCACTAAGGGCAGGCGCTTCTACGCCTACTATTCCATCCCATTTGCTAAGCCTCCAGTCAAGGAACTCCGCTTCAAGGTCAGGACACTGACTTTCCATCTTCGGGAATTTCAAGACCGAATCTAGCTGCATTTGTTTCACTTTGTGTAGGTTAAAAAAATTACAATCGTGGCTAGGCTATTGTTGTATATTTTCTGGTGTTAGGTTTAAGGCCTATATGTACTGAGGGCAATGTCTTATACAATGTGTCACTGTGTGGGTTGTGTCTTATACAATGTGTCACTGTGTGGGTTGTGTCTTATACAATGTGTCACTGTGTGGGTTGTGTCTTATACAATGTGTCACTGTGTGGGTTGTGTCTTATACAATGTGTCACTGTGTGGGTTGTGTCTTATACAATGTGTTACTGTGTGGGTTGTGTCTAATACAATGTGTCACTGTGTGGGTTGTGTCTTATACAATGTGTTACTGTGTGGGTTGTGTCTTATACAATGTGTCACTGTGTGGGTTGTGTCTTATACAATGTGTCACTGTGTGGGTTGTGTCTTATACAATGTGTCACTGTGTGGGTTGTGTCTTATACAATGTATCACTATAGACATTGTCTTAAACAAGCCTGTAGAGTTTGAGCTGCTGAAGGGTTATTAAGTCCCTCACAAGAGCTTATTGACCAACCACCACGTATCATTTAGTTTATCCTCAACATTGTTCAGATGTTTGGTGAACATATTTACCCGAGGACCACAATATATAGTGACCTCAACGGGGACAGAAAGCCAGTGGCTTGTCAAAGTTATACCCCCACATATGACCAACATTCCAGTAGCAGTACATCAGTGCGTACTTAAGCTTGTTGATAAACAGAAGAAAGATGTAATTAACTGGTAATTTCCATTTCAGGACCCAGTCAAGGCACCTCCCTGGGAGGGGGTTCTTGAAGGGGGGTCCTCCTACCCCCCTCCCTGCCTCCAGGTGCCATTCTCCACCATCGCTACAGGAGTGATTTCACTAATTGGGCAAGAGGACTGTCTCTACCTCAATGTGTTCACTAGTAAGGTATAATCGCCATGAGTTATTATAATGTCCGACATTTACCAACTTGCCTCCCTATTACCACAGATGACTCGCTAGAGATTGAATTTACTTAGTTTATTATTAATAATTCAATCCCAGACCCATGGGTCATGTCACGCACCGAACCCAACGGGACCAGTTTAGTCCCCCGGGTAGGACAGAGTTGAGACTCTGTCCTTTCACCTGATGCCACTATTCACATTGCGGTAAATACAGATACCCAGGTGTTAGGGAATTGCCGTGGGTAGCATCCTGTGGAAGGATGTAGTTAGCCTAGGAAGAGAACCTCAATATACCTGAAGTCCAGGCTTCCTGTCCCCGAGAACGAGAAACCCATACATGGTGTAGGGCGGAACTAAATTAACTTTATACCAGGAATTGCAGACATTTCCAATTTCTCAACAGAAGTTTGATTCAATGTGGAATGGAATAGAGCCAGTAGGGTCTAAAACCTGTATGATGTCATGAACATTATGACGACAACATCTCTTGCACTCGTATATAGGACAACCTTTTATCTCTTCAGTTTATTATAAGCCTACTCATATGTATTTTTTGCGGGGGTGGGGGTGGATGAATTTAAACGCTTCAAAACAGTCTCTAGTTTGATGCGGTCTTCTCTCTAATTCTAATGATTCCACGATATGAAATTTGTCAAAGATCACCTTGATAGCATTTGACGACCAAGAGACCATTTGAATTCCCTGTTTCACTTCTTTTTTTATATTACTGCTTCCAGCTCCAAGGTAATCCAGACGAATAGACACTAACTTGAACTTGTCGAGAAATGAAACAACTGAAGGTCTGAATATAAGTGATGTCTAATTGTGGTCATACTGATGTAAACAGTTAACGGTAATCGTACAGTAAATTCAGACGTTAGGTTTCTCTGACTATATGTCTGTCTCTGCCTTTCTGTCTCTATTTTATATTAAAATTGTTATATTCATGTAAGGTTTTGCAGTTTTCGTATATACATACGATATATAATTCAATCATTATGAATTTATTAGTAAAGTATTAAGTTAAGGGAAGGGAATTATCAGGGGAAAGCGCCTATATAGCACTGGGAAGGGGTCAGGATAAGGATTTGGGATGGGACGGGAGTTAAGGAATGGTGCTCAACCATTTGGACGGTCGGGGACTTGAACACCGACCTGCATGAAGCAAGGCCGTCACTCTACCGTTCAGCCCAAGTGGTTGTGCTTGTATTAAGTTAGGATCAGGAACATTCTCGCAATTACGGGCTATTCATGCCCGTGCCACCTTTATCAATCAATCAATTCTCGTAAAGCCATGGACACTTCGTCCTGAGTAGCTAAATCTTTAACAACATCGTAAAGCCAACCACAGCCCCTCTCCAGTGCCAGGTAAGTCCACAACGGGCTCACCATAGCCCGTACTACTTGGAACGTTTTGTTCCGAGTAGCTGAATCTAAAACAACATCGCAAAGCCACTAACGCACCTAACTCCAGCCAAGGCAGACGGAGGCCGAGTTGCCAGTGCTGGTGTTCATCCACGGAGGAGCTTACTTCGCCGGCAGCGCCAGCAAGTACCCGCCGCACGCGCTCCTCAATGAAGACATTGTTCTCGTCACTCTTCAGTACCGGCTGGGCGTCTTAGGTGAGTTAACACGGTGGTGTTCTGTGTGTGGCGCCTTGAGATATCTTACCTGGTCCTGGAGTGCGTTCTGGGAGTTCATCTACTCCCGAAGTCTGGCCCGGGGCCAGGCGTGACTTGAAACAACTTAGTCCTAAAGGCTGTTGCTCGAAGTGGCCCTTAGGCTTATAAGGGTGATATACGTTCACTTACAAGGCAGCCATTGGTCATTGTTTCATCAATGATTCGTGACGTTTTCTCTGGTAGAGGTCACGAATCATTGTTGAATGATTCGCTGCATTATAAGCGTCTATAAACAAGTGTGACCTCAAACATGTAACCAATGCGATGTTATTTGTCCTTAAGGCTTCCTTTCCACCGAAGACGAGGTCATGCCCGGGAACCTGGCCCTCAAGGACCAGGTAATGGCCCTCCAATGGGTCAAGGCCAACATCCGGCAGTTCGGCGGTGACCCGAAGAAGGTCACCATCTTCGGAGAGAGCGCCGGCGCCGCCTTCGTACACTTCCACATTCTCTCACCCAAATCTGACGGTGGGTTGGTGGGCTGGCGTAGCAAGACGGTGGGTTGGTGGGCTGGCGTAGCAAGACGGTGGGTTGGTGGGCTGGCGTAGCAAGACGGTGGGTTGGTGGGCTGGCGTAGCAAGACGGTGGGTTGGTGGGCTGGCGTAGCAAGACGGTGGGTTGGCGTAGAAAGATTGATGTGCTTAGATTAGATGTTTAGCTACAGGCCCAGGGGGCCGTGTTGTTACGACAGAGCCATGTGGCACTAGGCTATTTGCATACAGACGCATGGGTCACTAAGCTATTAAGAAATAATTAAGAAAGTTCATTTCAAAACTCATGTTAAATTCGCTATATTTTTATTCTTAAGTTACATAAATATTAACTAGCATTTTTACCAAGATATTTTTATCCAAGATATAAATATTATTTAGGCACTATCTTTTTAGAATTATTTTGGCAATTATTTGAAAGGCGCTGAGCAAAGATCAACAGGCTGACTTTGTTCCAAGGCGTGACAATAGGGCTATACCCGAATTTCTAGCAGAACTATTCCCTACCGTCACCCTATCCTCAGAGATACTAAAACATCAACCTCGATCATTCCCATGTGTTTAGAACCAGCTCACGACAAGAAAATTGTCCCGGGCTTAATTGCCGAACAGGACAAGATATGTGAGTAATTCTCGTCAGAGAGAAGCCTATGGAGCCCTTGATAAGCCTAGCTGTAGCTTATTAAGGCTTTCCTAGCCCAACTACTGACCGTCCGCAGGATGCAACCCACATCAGTGGCCTAACTCTTGGGTTACCTATTTACTGCTAGGTGAACAGAAGCATCGGGTGAAAATGAACTTGCCAAACGGGTTTCTGCCCTGCCTGGAGGAGTGACTCGGGTGTGAGCCGGGGACGTAGACCACTGCATGGTGCCTCTGTTCACCTAGCAGCAAATAGAAGTTAAGGGCGACTGTTGTGGGTTGCATCATGGGGTAGTAGTTGGCCCAGATGAGAGGAAGTGGGCAGGGTTAAGTAAATAAGTTTCCTGTGCCCGGCAAGGGTGGGGAACCATTCTAACGAACTATAGTTAACTACGATCTTCAAATGCTCTATTCTCAACAATTACATAATCAGTTCTAGACCCTTCTCTTCTAACAAAATCCTTTAGACGACCCAACCTTAGTATGTCATTTATCTATTTTATGATTTCCTAGTTAGTCTAGCTATTATCCTCCTACCCAAGCAGAATCATTCCCATTTTTATTTTGTTGTGATTCCTGATCGAGCATACTTCTCCAGGATTGTTCTCCCGAGCGATCCTACAGTCTGGCTCGGCCTTGTGCCCTTGGTCGCTCGGAGCCTCTCACAGAGAAGTGGCCTTTCACACCGCTGACACGGTAGGATGCGCAGACACACGGGATTCCTACGAACTCCTGCGGTGTCTGCAGGAGGCGAGGGCGGAGCAGCTGGTCCTCACTCTCCTCGATCACTTTGTGAGTAAATCTTCTAACCTGTAGCGCAGTAGTCTACGTTCTCGACTCACACTCGAGGGGACCCGGTTGGGCATGTGTCCTTTAACCTAATGATCCTGTTCACCTAGGCGTAAAATAGGTACCAGAGAGTTAGACAATTGCTGTGGGTTGTAACGTGGGGAAGGTCAATAGGATAGGATAGTGGATCCCAAATTTTTAGGTCTTATTCCTCCCTTTTCTAACGATAGTCTTGCTTGTGGACCCCTACAACCATGTGTGTGTGTGAGGGAGAATGAGTGGGCGCGCAGAAGAGATGGAAGAGGAGGAGATGATTGAGGGAAATGGGGAATGAGAGTAGCAGAGAAATTCAGAGATAAGGCGACCTATCGACAAGAATTTGTGTGCGCGAGAGATAATAAGAGAGATAAAAAGAGAAACAAGGATGAGCTCAATGTAGTTGACGTGGAGTTGATAGCCACACAGCAAAGTGTAATGGGACGTTCGTCCTGACCGTACGATATACGCTATACACGGTGATTAAGATAACAGGAAGAACACGACGGGAGACATCTCCAGTCACGCAGGGTGCAGTTGCACCTCCACAGATCTCCAGTATCTCTTGATACTGGTAATGGCTCAAAAGGGCCACCACTTACGGGCTATTCATGCCCGTGCCACCTTTTGGGTGGCTTAATCTTCGTCAATCAATCAATCAACAGGAAGAAATAATCCTAACCTGCAGTTGATTAGATCCGTAACTTGCAACTTTAACGGCATATATATAAGCACTGGCTATATGATATATCATGCAAAACACAATATTTTTTAACCATATTTACAACAAGAATCAAGCGTTTATATTACAATCTTGAACAAATGTGTATCATCCAAGCGCGGATATGTGTTGGAATTTTCAACAGAATAATTAATTTTGTGACGAAGATCAATAACTGATAATGTTTTACACGCTCCAAGATCTTTGTCTTGTGTCGCAAGTGACACCTTTCTTTCCTGTTCCCATTCGTTCTTTTCCACTCTATTTCCAGTAGCTACCATCCCTTTGTATAGCGTAAGGCTTAATGTCTATCACAATCAAGAGGGGTAATTAAGGTTACTATAAATACTGTACTTACTGAATAGTTAGTAAATATACTTTAACTCTGGCCATCTTCACTTAGAAACGGTATATAATTTTGTATAAATATTCCTGTTCACATTACCATCCTGGTCCGATTATTTCACTGACGCTACTGCTGCTCTGACTGTGCAATGCTCCGCAGGCATGGCAGTTTTTACCGTTGCTGTTGGGACCCCGGGTTGATGGAGACGTCATACCCATGGAGCCTGAGGTGCTGGCGAGGTTAGGCTACCACAAGCACATTGACATCATATCGGGGATCACGGCCCACGACGGAGGTCTTCTTGCTGTCAGTACGTGCGTCTCTCTCGATGTTTCCTTATTCTGATTTCTATGTTTCTTATGTAAAGACCTTAATGAAGGAGTAGGTCAAAGATTTTATAAATGTACTCTCTACGAGTCTACGATATCGCTGCTCGTTAAACAAACGTCAACTAACCTAATATATTCTAACCTATCTTTAACTGAACCTAACCTATCTTCAGCCGAGCCTCACCTATCAAAATTAAGAAATACAATTTTGTTGTATATATGATGTAGACGGGGTATGTTAGACTGGTAAAAATGCCGCCCTTCCGGCTAACAAGACAAACACATGTTGATGAAATTAATATATTCACCCATGCATCACCATTAAAGTGTTTTTACTTGTTGGCTTCCGTTGACGGAACAGCAATGTACGCCAGAGAGGACCTCCGGAAGGCATTGCAAGAGAGGTTCCACGAGCTGGGGCCTGTGGCGTTGTCGTTTGACACGGCAGACGACACCCCTCTCCTGCTTGCTCGCCAGGTCTTCAACCACTACCTCGGGGGAGTTCACCTGGACGAGGCTCATGCTGAACAAGTCGTCAAGGTTAGCAGTTACGGGCTCACCATAGCCCGTGCTACTTGGAACTTTTTGTTCCAGGTAGCGAATCTTAAACAACAAAGGTTAGCAGGGGGGGGGGCGGGCTTGTGAGATAGATTTGTGGCATTTTTCTCGTGAATATGAGAATGGGAAGAGGATTTGATCATGTGTAAATGGTTCAGAAGCCTTTAAGTGATCATTCATATGTTCAAAGGTTTAATTAATATAGTGGATATGCTGTAGTTCATTTTCCTTAATTTCATTTTTGGATATTAAAATGTTTAATTTGTTTTCAATTTATCTTGTCAAAGCCTAAAAAAGCCTTTTTGTTTTTCTTGCACTTTCCTCTTTCTATCCCCTTCAAAATATATATTTAAAGGCTTTTTTAAATTAAATAGTTATATTAATCTTCTTTACGACAGATGTTCACAGACCGAACATTTGCAGTCTGCCACGACCTGACCTCCATCCTGCACTCTCGTTCCTCTGCTGGTCCACTACCACACCACCACAGCAAGGCCCCCCACCGCAAGGACCACCACATTAAGGACCACCACCGCCGCACCTATACCTACGAGCTCCACTACAGAGGAGAGCACTCCATCACCGACATCTTCAACATTACCATCGGCAGACACTGTGAGCTGACACGCGAGGCTTCTAATCTGTCTGTTTACATTAACTTAACTCAATAATTTATTCCTGTATTTGATGAGTAACAACCTACCACTCACAGTATTCATCATCTATATTAACAATGTTGATATAGATGATGATGTTGCTCGTGTTGCCTTGCATGTTGCAACAATGAATTATGTTGCTTGTTCCAAATGTTAAAGTGGAGTATGCGTCCGGACGCCTGTGTTTCAGGGGTGACCCATGCAGACGACCTTTTCTACTTTTTCACGGGAGGAGAAGCCTGGCTGCCCCTCACCCGCCCACAAGACCTGGCCTTCAGGGACCTCCTCATAAGGCTCTGGGTCAACTTTGCTACCACTGGGTACTGACTTACCCCGTCTCCACAAAGTCTGTATATATTTAGCTAATACTGACCCACAGTAATGACCAAACTACATATCTCTCTACTCTACATACTACTAAATACTAAGTAATACTAAACTACATACTCTCGCCGACCTGCATGAAGCAAGACAGTCGCTCTACCGTCGAGCCTAAGCAGCCCAACCATGTTAAAGACTGTACCTCTCTCAACCAGTTTAAGTTAAAAACGAAGCTATACCTAATAAATTCCCTGTAACCTACCTTACCCTTCTATTGTCAACCAATGTCTGTTTTTCTTTAAAGAGCGCTGTTTGTCGACATAATTGTATTTGTGCTGCTTTTTCATCTATGTTTTCATTTCTTGTTTTCATTCTACTCATTATGCTCAATTAGTATTAAGCTTGTCATTTAAGTTTATCATGCCCGAAACGCTTTGCGTAATAGTGGCTTTAGGCATTGTATGTACTAGCTCTACCTATAAGTCAACCAATCCTTGTAAAAATTTATTGTATGTATGAACCTTACCTAAATAAAATTGTATTGTATTGTTGTTGTATCAAAAGATGAAGAAACGACGACGTTTCGGTTCGTGTGGGACTTGATAATGGTCCAAGACAGACCGAAACGTCGTCGTCGTTTCTTTATCTTCTGGTGTGTGATCATCATATCTTCAGCCACGTTATTGTGAATCATCATCTGTAATGACCCACTATTTTGAAAACACAAGAAACTTACACTGAATATTTTCGGTACGAAACTGGAGCCCGCCCTCTTCAGCAGTTTGGGGCCGAAATATTCAGTTGACGTTTCTGCGTTTTCAAAATAGTGCCAGCTTTTATATATAGATCTACATATTACCTCATTTCATTAACACGCCTAGGTATATACACAGCAATGTGCTGCTACCCTATTATGTATGAAAGATTACAGAGTTCAAATAGATTACAAAGATCAAAAACTAGCAATAAGTTCATATAATAATAATAATAATAATAATAATAATAATAATAATAATAATAATAATAATAATAATAATTGTCAATTTTTTTAATGTTAATTAAGGAATCCAACGCCGGATTTTTCGCTTGGGTTCACCTGGGAACCTACCACAGAGGCCCACCTACAGCACCTGGTCCTCCAGCCCTCACCTGTCATGCACAACGACACTAGGCGTCAGGTGAGGCTAATTATGTAGACAGGTGTTAATACGGTTATTACTAATTGCTGAATTTGCAATTTGAGGGGGAGTGAGGGAGGGGTAGATTTGAGTCAACCAATTGGATTTGAATTTAGATTCTAGATTAAGGTAAACTGTTTGTTTATATATGTTAAGTAGCATCATTATTATCTTTATAAACATCATTATAATGAACACTATCACGAGAATCATTCTCACCACTATCATCATCATGTTTGGACACAGTAATCCAGATGGTGACAGCAAAAAATGTATAGATTAAAAGCAAAAAAAAATCTTTCCTTTGAAATCAAAAGCTCATTTAATTACCACAGCCCTCCTCTCTTCTACTAGTTGATCAACTTTCATTATAATTGGTTGATCATCGCTCGTATAGATCCTGTCTATATCAATATGTTGCATGGCTGTGTTGTTGGTATGCTAATTATATGCATTAGCATGTCTTTTATGCACGTTTTTGCATTTTTAAATGTTGAAAAACATTTGTCAATCTTCTGATTATTTTGGTGTTTAGGTTTATCGCTTTGCAAGGCCTCACTATCATTTTCACTTCCCACTTTATGTACACTGTACCATGTACACAACACCACGTACACTGTACCACGTACACAACACCACGTACACTGTACCACGTACACAACACCACGTACACTACGCTACCCACAATACACCATCATGCATCACCATAACCACTACATTACTAAATCTAACCAAATACTGCAACTGTGCTTGTTTGCTCCTGCAGGAGAGAGAGTTCCTGACGTCCCTCCCCACCTACCAGTACGGCCTCCTGGAAAAGGAGATGGAAGAGGAAACTGCAGAAGAAAACTGGTGGAAATTGGATGATGATGAGGAGGAGGAGGAGGTGGAGGAAAATGAGTGGTGGTACTTGGATTATGATAATGATGAGGAGGAAATAGAAGAGGAATGGTGGAAATTGAATAGGGAGGAGGAGGAGGAGGAGGAGGAGGATGAACGAGCAGCAAACACAACAACAAACACTGAGTCGAACACAATCTACACCAGGGACGAGTTGTGAGCTCTGAGTGTTGGGTAGGCTATACACATGATGGGTAGGCCATACACATGATGGGTAGGCCATACACATGATGGGTAGGCCATACACATGATGGGTAGGCCATACACATGATGGGTAGGCCATACACATGATGGGTAGGCCATACACATGATGGGTAGGCCATACACATGATGGGTAGGCCATACACGTGATGGGTAGGCCATACACATGATGGGTAGGCCATACACATGATGGGTAGGCCATACACATGATGGGTAGGCTATACACATGATGGGTAGGCTATACACGTGATGGGTAGGCTATACACATGATGGGTAGGCCATACACAATGATGGGTAGGACCTACACATGATGGGTAGGACCTACACATCATGTTAGGGTTAAGACTTGTTACATGATGATTTGGCGAAACATAAATTTCATAAGACAGAAGATTGACGACTTTGATTATATTATTATATCAATATACTTTATAAATGCATAATTATATGTTACTCTACCGTCCTTGTACGCTGTATAACTGTATCAATGCATTTATGTACTGCTGGCTCACTGTATTAATGAACCAATGCACTGGTTTTGGTTAGTTGCTAGGCTTGTTACGCCTATGTCAACCTCTGGAGGGTTATTGAGGCCTACATAAGATTCGGGGAAACTGCAGAGGGGGCTATTGGTCCATACGTGGCAGCTCCGCGCATTCCAAATTTCATAATTTCAACACTGAAAAAAGTCAGTATAGTTGACCAAAGGAGAACTGAATATAAGTGTAAACACACTTCCTGTTACTATGCTGAACCCTAATCTAGAAATGTCTATATAATTTAAGTACAGTCGGGTGCGTTCTCGATTCACAAACGGCAATTCCGGGTTCGAATCAAGGGCGGGACAGAAACGGTTGAGCTCGTTTCACGAGTGTCAGTAATTCGACCATGGAGTGGGGGAGAAAGGACCTCTACTTAAGCCTGACGAGTATGAATACACTCTCAGAGGTCACGACCTCTCCGTAGGGTGCAGTCGCACCTCCACAGATCTCCAGTATCAGCTAATGATACTGGTAATAGCTCCACCACTTACGGGCTATTCATGCCCGTGCCACCTCTTGGGTGGCTTAATCTTCATCAATCGAATACACTCTGGCTGCCGGTCTCCCGACACAATAAACTATTATTATTATTATTATACGGAATAACAAATATAATTTCCGTGTACTTTAGATTTGTATGGAGGACCCCCTGACCGTTAACAGAGGCATTAGGGAAATGTTCCCAGCCATTTCTGTTCTGCCCGGGAATCAAACCCAGGATTCCTGATTGTGAGTCAGGAATAAAGCCAACAGGTAGATACATGCTGTATTGGGTGGACTGTATTTCCTGAAATTATATAGTGTCACACCTAGAATTAATTAACATAGCCATGATAATTAGGCTCAGAATTGGCATCATCGACTACCCATTTGTTTAAATTAACGGAAATGTATACATATAGATGATTAGACATTTCTTTATAAACAAAAAATAACATAATTGACTAACGTACCTAATCTAGTGTATTTTTGTTAATGTTATCATACAAAAAAATTATTTGAGTTTAGAATTATTATTAACATATAGGACTTTTCTGCGAACTTTTCATATCAGTGACATCGGGTGCCAAGAAGTACTGCCAATGCGCACAAAACATCTTTTAAATTATTACTTATCTAAAAAAAGAATGATACAATTAAAGTTAAATAGTATATTTAAAAAAATAATATATATTACTATAATATATTATTATTTGTAAGACACTGAAAGCAAATTCACAAAAAATAGTGCCTATTTACTGGAGAATTAATTGACTAAAAGTCCGTCAGTGCCTCGGGCGCCGCACTCGAACGGCTTCTGTTGATATGTTTGTGTTTTGGGCCATTTCGATCAGCGAACTTTGGGGTCGAGGAATGTCCCTCACTGGTTTGACGAGCCTCGCAGTAGTCTGAGAGAGAGCCCAGCCATGGCGGACACGCTCTCAAACAACTTCTGCTCCCTCTGCGGCTACTCCTTCGACCGCTTCGGCTCTGACAAGCTCAACATACGGACATCTCTGGCCTCGCCCGTTGTCGAGCAGTCGGGTGGGTCGCGGGTTCTGACAGGGGGGAGGGTGATGGTGGGGAGTTTCGGGTAATAAAAAATCAACTTTGTTTTCCAACTAAACCATACACAACCTAGCATATCCTAGCCATAAAGAACCCAGCCTAGCGCAACATAACATATCCAGAACGCCTAGAAGAGGTGGCCAAATAGTTTAGGAGGGAAACTTTAAATGCGTGCCCCTTTAAAACTGCAGCTAGACAGCCTTTTCCAGATTTTCTGGATGCCTTAGTTATGGCACAAGTTACAAAGAAGAGGCTTGACATAAAAGCAACTCGCAGAACAGCAGTCATAATTCGGTTTTATTAAGTTAGTTTCTATTGGCATAATGTGCTCAAGAAGTACACTAATATATATTTAAGGACAGATGAAGACGTTGCAGCCTCTGCTGGCTTGCTTCTACTATTAAACATTTGTTCTGTGGTTATGGGGGAATTTTGGAGGATTTGGCTTTTGGGAATGACACTGAGGCAGAGAGATAACAATAACTCTCCTTGAATGTTTGTACTTTTTCCTGAATAAACATCTTATCTTATCTATCTTATCTAATACTAAAAGTGCACAATCACATTAACGTGAGGTCTCATTGAGAAAATTCTGTCGGGGCCGAGTTGTTTAGGGCGTATGCTTGGGAGTACCCAGTGTGTAGGTTCAACTCCTTGTTATGGCTTCTACCGATTTTCTCAGTACTAAGAGTACTTAGTACTCTAAGTACTAAGAGTATCTACTATAGTAATACCAAGTAATATAGCAATACTGTACTACTTAGTAATACTAAGAGTATCTAATTCTTTATCACACAAGTAAATAATTACAGTACTTGAGTGATACAGTAGTTGATTTGTTGATTCTTAGTGACAATTGTTCACTTGGGGTGAAAACTGTTCTTGTCATTGTATTATAGAGCCGAAGGGTTGTATTGTTGGAACTTTCCCACTTGTTCCAATAGGGGAATTTAACAACTTATAAATAATAAAGCAAAATAAGGTGTTTTAATATATTTTTAAGTGAATTTGTGTATTAACTTAAACTGTGGAGGTCACTAATATCAAGAAATAATGATTGTAATTCATTTGGACATTTTTTTATTAAAACCTTTGCTTCGGAATTTCAAAATGTTGTGTTTTTGTAAACTGCATTTCAGTGGTTTATTTGATTAATATTACCAAGGTGCATCAATGTTAGTTGATTGCATCAAATGCCTGTCACTGCTAATTTTTTTAATAGGCATTACAGTATTAGGTCTGAATAGGGGGTAGGTTTGAATAGGGGTAGGTCTGAATAGGGGTTTGTTTGAATAGGGGTAGGTTTGAATAGGGGTAGGTTTGAATAGGGGTAGGTTTGATTAGGGGTAGGTTTGAATAGGGGTAGGCTTGAATAGGGGTAAGTTTGAATAGGGGTAGGTCTGAATATGGGTTTGTTTGAATAGGGGTTTGTCTGAGTAGGGGTTGATTTGAATAGGGGTAGGTTTGAATAGGGGTAGGTTTGAATAGGTGTAAATTTGAATAGGGGTAAATTTGAATAGGGGTAAATTTAAATAAGGGGTAGGTTTTAATAGGGGTGGGCTTGAATAGGGGTGGGCTTGAATAGGGGTAGGCTTGAATAGGTGTAGGTTTAAATAGAAGTAGGCTGTACACAATTTGCAGTTAGGTGTGCAAATCAGATGTAGTGATTTTCTACATACATACCCTCTGTGCCAAAGGATGCTATCAGTAGTCTCATTTGCTATTGCTACTCTAGAAAGTTAAGCACTAGTGCCAATTTTGTTTGTACTGTATTTTGTTATTGAAGAAATCAATAACTGAAAGATACTCAATTCAAACTTGATCTGTAACAATACAGAAGTATCTAATTCTTTCAGGCGATGAAACACAATAACGTGGCTGAAGTAGTTTGACCAGACCATACACTAGAAGGTGAAGGGACGACGACATTTCGGTCCGTCCTGGACCATTCTCAAGTTGATCGAGAATCGACTTGAGAATGGTCCAGGACGAACCGAAACGTCATCGTCCCTTCACCTTCTAGTATCTAGTTCTTTATCATGAGTAAAGTTGATCTTTGGTCATTAGCTGGGAATCTGTGTTTAAGGATTTCTTCAAATATTTATTAATTTGGTTGAAAGTTGTACAGTATACCGTACTTATTTTTAACCTTTGAGGTAATTTGGAGAAATAAATTAAAATGTACAGTTTATTATTTCTTGATAATATTTACGTAATGTAATGATTTTCAGGACTGTTGGAGATGCTGGACATCACAGTAGCACCCCTGAGGAAAGAACTAGTGTTCATTTGTTACTCTTGTCGGACAGTATTCAGCAACTACACAACAGCTAAAACAAATTTTAAGAACAGAGAAATGGAGGCTTTAAAACTTCTCACAGAACCCGTGGAGGCCAATGAGCAGGGCCAGTTACCTTTTGTACCATATTTGAAACGCAAGTGTATGCATAGACCCAATTCCGAGTTGATGCTAACAAGGCCATCAAAAATTCAGAAAATTGACAGTTGTGCGACAGATTCTAAATCCACTACAGAGCAAGGTCAGAGTCCAGAAAAGGAACCCAAAGCTCTGCCAAGAAAGGAAGTGTTGGATGATTTGAAAAGTATAAACAGTAGCAATGAGAGAAACAGTGAAGCTGGCATTGGAACCTCTGTGAGTGAATAGATGTTTTGGTAACTGCGTGAGGCCTGAATTTGCATGTTGCTTCATATCCAAAAATGCCATTCAGCTGTACTTTTATTTTTGTATTTCTTTTCAGGGGCTATGATATTGTATTTCTGTAATTAAGTTTCATAGATTCTTCTAATAGCAAAGCTAGTTTTTTTCTATGGCTATGTCATACACCTGAAATGAATGTGTACCGAGGCAGCGTTATTGGTCGTATTGGCCTACTTTTGCAGTGCTAGTATCGATACAATTTACTTGGCATAGTACTTTGATAATTTATATTTATATTTTTAAACAAAGCAGGTTGAGTTCTAGCATCTGACAAACAATATTTGGTATCATTATCGTAGCATCGGTATCTGTTAATAAGACAGTACTGTATCAGTATTGGTCAAAATATTGTCCTCTGTGCACCTCTACTATGAAAGAGTTATGAAAGTACAGTACAGGTACAACAATGGGTTACAGATTAGTGCACCTGAGCAACAGGAGCATGATAGATAATGCTTAAATTTAAATTTATTTTGTATTTCTTTAGGGTTAAATTATGGGCCATAAGTGTTTTTAAATGAATGCTTATTTGTCAGCTAAATATTCAATTATTGTCCCATCACAATGGGTTTTACTTTTGAGAAAACTTAAAATTCATGATATGTGCAGTAGCACAGGAACACTTCTGAGGGGAATTTTTCACAAGGGATTTCCCATTTTTAATGTGTGCTTGTATATTGTATGCAATATATTGTATACATGTATTGTGTGCAGTGTGTTTTATTGCCGGCTAGCTTCTTCAATCTGAGGGCTCGGTAGTACTTTTTCACAGTGGGAGTTTACTAGAGTAGAACAATACGTTTTGAACCCTTCTTGTTTAATCATATTTAATTTTTTCTTTTTCTCTTTCAACACCACTCAAGTGTAGCAGGAATTTCTGTGTTGTACAATTCAAAGAATAGTGGTGAAAAAAAAGAGAAAAGGCAGAAGAAAATAGAAACAGAAAGTAACTAGTTATAATTATTAATCATTCATTTTGTTGGGGATAGGACAGGCAGCCTCTGAATATGTATATACAGTACATTAGGCATATATCGAGGTCCCCATGGTTGAACAACTGATTCGTCTCAGGAGAATAACCCCACAATAAGGTGACTAACTTCCAGGTATCTGTTTCCTGCTAGGTGAACAGAGGAATTACTGTAGGTGATAGGAAAACGTGTCTGACTATATCTGTCCCACCCGGAATTCAAACCCAGGATTCCCGATTGTGAATAGAGAATGGGCCAACTGCAAAGATAAAGATGATTGGAAGGAATTGAACTATGAGGGGAAAGCGCCAAGCCATTATGACTATATAGCACATGGAAGGGATCAGGATAAGGATTTGGGATGGGATGGGGGGGGGGGGCAGGAATGTTGCCCAACCACTAGGATAGTCGGGGATTGAACGCTGACCTACATGAAGCGAGACCGTTGCTCTACCGTCCAGCCCAAGTGGTTGGACGGTAGACAGTTGGACGAAAGCAAGTAGAAGGGGGCTAGAGAGGCAAAAAAGAATGCTGAGGAAAGAGAAAAGAGAAAACAAAAGAGTTGAAAACAAAATGGGTTTCAGGGCATTGGATAACAAACTACTGCATATTTCTTATCAAGATTCTATGGTACGGTATTTCAATTGATAGGAGCGAATTGTATATTGATAATTTTACTGAATTATAGTTAACAATATCTGTTGATTATCTGTATTGTATTTTTCTTGAAGATCAGCAATTGTGATTAACAAAAAATGAAATCCATTTTTTAATATTAATGCTTAGTGAGTTTTTACCTCAAGTTTGGGATATATATGATAAGTTTGGATGTTTTGTATAGTAAGCCTAATAGAATTCTCCATTCACAGAAACCTGGAGCTCTGAGATTTGAAGCTGTTAAGTTCTTGGAAGATGGACGCTACAGAGCCTCTGTAAGGAAACTGTGGGGACGAAGCAAAAGGTTCAGAACGAGTTGTTTGTCGTTCCTCTCTGTAGTGATCAAAAGGGAGACAAGAAGTAAGATACTGTATAGTGTTTGGTGTTTTACCTTGTCTGGGACATGTCTGTTAAGACGTGTAGAGGTTTCCCCTAACCAGTGGCAAGACTGTCCGCTAGTCACCCACCCAATTACAGTATAGTATCATGAAGAGCTAGGGAGTGGAAATCGAGGTGTACAACTTACTCGCGGGTCAGATCTTAAGTCTTAATACACCTATAAGGAATGGCTAAATGAATATTTATCTTGCTTTAAGTGGCTAATGCATTAGCTCAGCAAAATCAGCTTTACAAAATGACTGGTATGAAATGTTTCAACTTTTACTTATACATTGTAGATTTATTTTTTCAGTTGTGTGTTGTGGTCTCTCACAGGCAGTAGGTAATAAAACTTGTATTATTTGCCCCAAAAATTAGCATGTTTTATAAAATTGTTTTTTGTCATGAGAAACTGCATAATGGGCTTAATTTAACCTGCTAATATTCAGAGGGAAAGTCTCAGTAATGTAGGTGAAATATATGAAATGAAACTGACAATGTTTTGGTGGTTTCCTGGACTCTTACTATGTGCTATATTGTCATAATGGCTTAGCGCTTTTTCCTCATAATTACCTTCCCCTGGACTCTTATCAACTTGAAATGTTGTTACTGTCATTTCATGTGTGTGGGGGTTGTGTTACCTCCATTTGAGTTTTACTCTCAGGATTTAATTTTTAAAGCAGCCAGGATGTAGGCCTACTGCAAAACTGGGTTTGCTACTGGCACACTGTGATGCTAAATGCATAACTAATAATCTATATGCTAAATGTTATAATAATTACTAGAATCTAATGTTGAACATTCTTCCTTTTATGAATTCATTATTTTATTGTGTATTTTCATTTACGATGTTACAGATTTGTTGAAGCACGGGACACTGTTTACAAAAAAATTAGATGGCAATAGCCTCCGAGATGTGTCTTGGGGTCCGACAATAGACACGGTGGCCCAAGTTGCCCCCACCACCTTTTACATCCTGTTTGCGTTGCTGGGGCTCGATGTACGAAAGGCGTAAGTATTTGCTTGTCATGCTTCAGTAGAATGTTGAGCCTAGACCTACAGAAATGAGTACCATTCTTTGGTAATAATGCTTGTTGATTCTTAATGAGGTAATTTATGTTACAGCATTGACTAGGAGTTCTTAAGTTGGTAAAGAATTGTATATCACATGGTGACCTGTAGAATAGTGGTTAGTGTAGTTGTGATCACTTACAAGTGATTGGACCCAAGTTTGATTCGTGGGCATAGTGAGACATTTAAGCAGGTTGCCTTACATGTGATTAACCTGTTCATCTAGCAGTAAACAGATACCAGACAGTTAGACATAGGTTTCATCCTGGAAATGGTCAAGCTTGGTCTATGAGGGATCTTGAAAAGCCTAAAAGGCTTTGTCACTGACAATTATAAATTATACGACACTGTTGTTTTTGCTTGCTGAAATCCTGTATTGGATATTGTGTTAACTTTAAGCTTAGACATACAGTATTTTGTATTGTTTAGATGTACTGTACCTGTTTTAATTATTAATAAAATTTATATGGGTATATTGTTGCTAGGAACAGGAAGCTTGTTATGCTCAACAGGGTGCCCCTGACCAAGGGTGAGGCTGTCCACACAATCACCCATCCAGATACTGACTAGAGCCAATCGTTCTTTACCTGACTTATTTAGTGAGGCGCATATCACCTGGTGTGCCACACCAGTGGCCAACATACACCATAGTATGTGTCTACCTGCCATGCTCTAGTTTTCCCTGTGTTCCTCTTGTTTTGATATCTTGTCAAAGGTTTTGGTTGAACAGGACACAGTGCTGACAACAGTGTGTAGAAATACCAAATGGAGTTCATAGAGATTTCTTCTCTATAGTCTTCTCCAAAGACTTCATAGAGATTTTAAAATCCACAGAATATATATAGAACTTGATAAATCATAGGTTCTTTAGTTGAGCGTATTGAATCATAGATTCTTTAGCTGACTTACTGAATCATAGAATCAATAGTGAGTTTATTAGGTCATGGATTCTTTGGTAAATCAGTGGATGGATAAAGCCCTTAGAAGTTGCACATTATCTACAAATAAAGCATTCTCTGAACTTGGTGTTTTTCTGCTCCTAAAGTTGTGTTGTATTTGAAGTCTAGGGAAGGCTTAACCCTTTGACTGTGTCACACAACCAAGGATGTTCTCACTAACTAGCCATACGCTGCGCAATGCGGTCAGGAATGTTTTAAAATACTGCACAAGATTTAAAACTAACACCATCTTGGAAGGAAATCATGGGTAACCCTCCTGGGTGAGAGCCTCAGTACTGAGTGAGTGACCATGAGTCGCACATGCACCAGCACTAGCATCAGCATCACTGCCATGCAGCTTGTGCCTGAAGCATAACCTTATAATGACGAAATAAATGAGCAACTGCGATTATTTAACTCCACTCCATAAAGGGACCGGGTAGTACAGTCGGGTTCATTCTCGATGCACAATAGATTCCGGGTTCCAATAATTTCGGGTTTGAATCCTGGGACAGGAATGGGTGGGCACATTTCGTTTCACCTAATGCACCTCTTCACCTAGCAGTAAGTAGGTACTCAAAAGCTAGTCAGCTTGTTTTTGGGGTTGCTTCCTGGGCAGGGTCAGTAATTTGACCATTGGGAGGGGACCTCGATATAAGCCTAATGTTTGTGAATACACTCTGGCTTCCTGTCCCCCAACACGGTGAATTATTATTATTATTATTTAATGATGATAGTGTCATGGAAGATCCTTGACTATGTACAAGGTTCAGGTAACAGTGAATGCAATGCTGGTTATGGTGTTCACAGACATATTCATGATTTAGTAACTAGGATTTTTGATAATGATTATTGATAATAGTAGTTTTATGGCTAGATTTAGTGATGCACATAGTGCTGTGTATCAGGAGGCACTTTTCTTTGTCAGGTGCCATTGGCAACTGACTAGTGTGTGACTGCTGTGCTTAGATTATGAGATTACCACACACACACCAGAACTGCTTTGTGGTTTGTAATAGTTTTTATGTAGCACGCAGAAAAAATTGACTGAGGACTCTGGAACCTAAACCAACTATTCCCATATTTTTAAGTTCAATTTTTTTTTTATGTATACAATTCTTACATTTTTGTAAGAATGCTTGGCATTTTAGGCAGGTCCTTAATCCAAATTTTCCCCAGAATATGACTCGCCAAATCGTTTAACAACCAGGTACCCATTCACTGCTGGGTGAACAAAAGCTACAGTTAAGGATTGGCGCCCAGTCAATTCTCCCCAGCCAGGATACGAGCTTAGGTTGAAGCGCTCGTGAACCACCGGATGAGTGCTTTACCAATGCGCCACGGAGACTGCCCCATGTTGTGTTGTAATGTGTTGATTTTGATATGCAGTGTTGTTGCAGAAACGTAACTCACGTGTAAATCGAAGGCCAACTATATGTGGAAGTGGTCGACGCTACTTAATAATTAAAATGATTGACTTCCTCTTTTTTCTCAGATCCCAAGAAGCCAAGGATGCAAAGCAGAACTTAGCTGGTTGTATGCTGTCAATGGCACTTTACAAACGCTACAAGCGACGTGCCAATTTTCTTCCTCTGCTGCACTCTGTATACCTGCACAATATTGGGACTCCATTAGAGGTCGGTATTTGGGGGACCAGAACTACCACCATTTTTTGCCATGTGTTGAGATCTTTTATTATTTATTTCGATTTTATGCTCGATTGTTTGCTCCATCGGCTGTGAGAATGACGGTAACGATATAGCAATCTTTATCCCAATTCTCACAAATGATTGATTTCTGTATTACTCTAAAACTGTTCATAATGACTCATGAAGTTTCGTATATTTCAGGTAATTCGTGTTCTTCATCAAGTAGGCCTGACTGTTCCAGCTTTCAAATTACCAGGTGTTTTCAAGTTGATATCGTCCTCCAACAGTGAAATAGCACAACTGTGGAAGAAAGAATTGGAGGTGCGATTTTCTTCATATTTAATACTGAATTTTTTCTTACAATTTTTTTTTTTGAATGTATGTTGATTCATTTGTTTCACTCTGGTGTTTAAAGTGTTTAAAACTTTCTTTAGAGAAGAAAGAAGACGAATTTCTTTAGAAGAAGAATATATTGTTTAATGTAGAATTTTGTTGACTTGGTGACGAATAAAATACTTGTTAAATAGATTAAGATCATAATTCATATCAAAGATAAACTATAATATAAGAAATGTCATGAACCTCCTAGTAAGGCTTGTGGTATGGCCTTTCCCCGTTAGGCAGGTTGAGATGTATGGGCAAGTCTCCTTACACCCGTTGCCTCTGTTCACCCAGCAGTCATTATGAACCTGGGTGTTAATTGACTGTTGTGGGTGGCATCCTGTGGAATGGTAAAGTGCTGCATATATCCCAGGTATACTTGAATTTCCCACAAATGGCGGCACGGACAAAATAGCCAGAAGGCTACACATGAAATTTGCCGCAAGGCAAAGAAACTAGAGTCGCAAGGCCCACTGCAACGAGTTGGATGGAAGGTCCAACAGTCACAAAAAGGTTCACGCCCGAAGTCAAAGAGTGGGTTCACGCCCAAACAAAGTAACTACTACTACTTAATAGTTGGCTCTCTTGGCCTCAAGCAAATCACAACTTTATAGGGGTCTAGAGATATATTGAAAGTAAAATAAGTCACCAGTTTACCATTGTGAAAGTATTCTACGTGACAACAGCTGCTTACAAGATACGCACCACAACAAAGTTAATAACAATGTTAATCTCACTGGCACATGTCACAGTAGCTAGATGTTACTCAGTTAAAGAGGTTAACAAAAACTTAACATGGAGAACACTAGATGGCAAGTGAAGTGCATCTTAAGTTGTGGTCCAGTTGAAGTAATTAGGACATTAAAAACCAAAGTCACTAAGGACTACTCAAAGTCAGAGCCTTGGTAGACTTGGCAACAATAAAGTAACCAGTGCAGGGCAACTTCATATCATTAACATCAACAAAGCAACAAGTCACTGAAACAAAACTTTGCCCTCAAAGAACTAAGTCCCAACTAGACAGGCAACTGGCAAAGTCAAAACTTGCAAAAGTTAGTCACAAATGATTTCTAAAAAATTGCCAAGGCCCCACAAAGGAAAATATATAACGTCACTTAACCACGAGTTTTATTATACTTGGTACTATGCCAAGTATAATATATATATATATATATATATAATATATATATATATATTAATATATGTATATCTACAACATGTATAACAATAGAGTCCTTCACAGTATATATAAATAATTGGTCATATGTACAATTGGTTAACATAGTTATGTCATAGGGTATCCAATCACAACAGGTATATGCTGAGTCATAACAGAATAGTAGAAGATAAATTTATGTGTTGAAAGGTAGTGAGTCCACTGGTTATCACTTGTTGACATAGGTGCCTTATCCCATGAGAGCTAGAAATGGGGGCAGGTCTAATGAATGATGATGTGAAATGGTAGTAGTATGAAAAGTGAACATCACTAAATATCTTGCTATAACAGTTTTATCATTTCCTGAGGTCTCTCTCCCTACTTTGTGTACCTGGAAATAGGGTAATTACCTTAATCATCAATAGTTTAGTTCATTTATTATGCACCCCATACCCATCCTGTTGGCAGTAGTGCAAGGGGTTACAAAGGCTGTAATACACTCGGGGACTGAACTCAAAGATTCATTAAACTAAGCAAGTTAGTGATGAGCTAGTTACAAAATTTAATATATATTGTTACATCAACAATTATTAACATCTTTATTGACAAAATTTAATTGCAATTTTGCCTACTCTGAGGATTTCTCTTAAGTCTTACTAAAGTGGGGCCTCGTAGCCTGGTGGATAGCGCGCAGGACTCGTAATTCTGTGGCGCGGGTTCGATTCCCGCACGAGGCAGAAACAAATGGGCAAAGTTTCTTTCATCCTATGCCCCTGTTACCTAGCAGTAAATAGGTACCTGGGTGTTAGTCAGCTGTCACGGGCTGCTTCCTGGGGGTGGAGGCCTGGTCGAGGACCGGGCCGCGGGGACACTAAAGCCCCGAAATCATCTCAAGATAAAGTGAGGATAATGCTGATAGTTACTGTCACACAGGACAGAGAGTCATACACAAGACAGTAGGTCTAAACTGTAGGCTGAAGCACATATATTAATGGGTTCCAGACTGCACTTCTGGTTGATATCTAAATAAAGCAACTTGTATATGTGGAGAGCTAGTGTCATAATTGATATGCTTATCCTGCACACTGACCTCATCCAGTAGGCAGCAGTAGAAAGATTTCAGTTGCCTACAGTTATCAAAGTGGGAATATTTGGCTAAAATTTCTGGTAGTAGATCATCATAGATCATAATAAATCATCAATATTGACCCCATTTCTTACTTTCATGGGTTAAGGTGATATTTTTCAGGAAAAGATAAAACACGTTAAAAAAAAGTTTAAAGATGCTTATAATGATGCCCATTTTCAACATTCACTATTTTCTACACAAAATAACATTATTGAGAACCACCACCACCACATTTCAGCAAATCACATGCAGCGGCAGTAGCAGCTTACTGCTTTAAAAAGACGAGGTATCAATGTCTTCTGAAATGTTATGTACATGTGTGTCAAACATTTCCCTCATGAACTGCTGCTACGTTTTCTCTTCCACCTCTCGTGCATGTTCACATTTAATCCTTGCTTTGTCTTGCACTCGTTCACCATATCTGCCCAATTTTTTTTCCTATTCACATCCGCTCCTCCACTGAAATTCACTCGCGTATCCTCATCGCTACTCTGTCATCATCCATTCATTCAAAATAACAACATTATTTCAGCACACTTCAGTCTGATTTTTAACTATCTTTTATACTTCTTATTTTTCCTTATAAGATTTTATTCTTCCATTTACACTGCTCAGCTCATCCACTTGTTTTGGTAGTACTTATAGTAACGATGAGGACCATAGTATACATAGACCCACGTACAACGAAATTACAAAGTAAAAAATCTGAACTATTGAGGTGGACAAACTGGAAAACTATTTTTTACTTGTGTTGCTTTGACAAATTAAACTAACCTATCCTACCCTCCCTAGGCCTAATACACAATATCTGAGGCCTAATATAGCAGATGTGTGTGCTATACTAGGCCTAACAATATTTAAATTTGTGTTTTAGCTTCATTTATTTTAAAAGAATTCTTTACTAGTCAGTATACTGTACAGTACAGTACTACTATCTAAAAGCTAAGAACGTACGAATTCTGACTATTGACGCTCGTCACAATAGGTACTACATAAACAGGAGGATGGGTTCTCATATCACATACATGTCTCAAGATTCTCTCTTCCTTCTGCTCTAGTTCTTAATTTGTTGATTCTTATGCCACAGCGGCATCTTGCATCCACAGATAAGGATAGGCAATATCATTCCTTGATGCCACCTGATTTTCCTAACTTCCATAAAAATTTCTTTTTCAACTTGGCTTACATAAGTTCCTTTATTTAAATTGGTTTTATTTCATTTTGAGGAGTGGACATGTAATTTTCCTGACAGGAATAAAGCATGAAAAATGTAAATTAAAAGTTGTATAAAATTTCTTAATGATGAACTTTGGTTTAAAATGTCTTCAGCTTGCACTGGAAATTGTTCATCGTAAACCAGAAGCTACACCAAAGAAGTACTATGCAGAGAGAAGAAAACAGAGAAGTGTACTTCCAAAGCCAACACCAGGTATGGTTATGCTTAGAATTCCAGTAATGTTTGTAATGAAATCCTGTGTGGGAAAGTAAGATGTATTTATTTTTGTTGTCATTTGATTTTCATTATAGTAATTGTATCTTACAGATTTTCTAAGTATAAGGAGGATTTAGGATACTGATTATTTCTCTGGGATGGCCTGCTCAGTAACTCTCCAGTACTCATACATTGTTACCACAAAGGTTAAGGATCATGCCAGGTGCCTGAGAATATTGCTGATCTACCTGGAGCAAAGACCAGAATTTGGCACTCTTTGAAATGAGGGGTGTTTGGGGTGGGTCAGTGATCTACCAAAAACCAAGGAAACCAACCAGGAAGATTAGTCTAGTTTTTCCAGTTTTGGGTGCTTTTCTTCATGTCTCTACCAGGCGTCTTATATGCATGCAGAGATCCATGCTCCCACTTCCAGCCGGTCTGGGTTTCATTCTTTTCAGATTCCTGGTTGAGGTAAGGCTTCTGGTCTGCTGGTTACGTTACAGGTGTGTGGTTCCACTTTTATACCCTGTGTCTGCCCTGCCGATTTTGCCTAGATTTTGCAGTTGAAGGGGGGGGGGTTCTCCAATTGCCCCTTTCTTGGTAATCCCCAATACTGTAATGGCATAGTGAAGGAATATCTGACTGCCTTTCAGCATATTGGGTCCTGTGATGCAAAGGCTTAATGCATAGTTCCTAGGGTTCATAAGTAGATGTGGTTTTTCCCACCCCCTCTAGTTTTCCAGGGACCTACTGAGCTGTCTACTCCAATAGTATTAACCATCATGAGTGAGTTATTTGCAAGGGTGTTATCATGATGACCCTATCCTTATGGGTGGTGTCTTGCTTTGCACATATCATTTCTAGGCGATATGTACCTCAGCTGCTGCTTCACTGTGTTCTCGTGTATATCCCATGTCCAATATTCCATATGACCTTGTTACAGACTTGTTTGGTAATTTTGAGTGATTTTTGGTTTATTTTCCTGGATTTACCAGATATACTTTTTGTATACTTGTCAATGGTTGAGAATCAACTTCGCTGTGGCCTGGTCTGATTAGGCCTCTTGATTTGTGGCCTATTTGCATTTATCCATTCACTCGAGGTTCCTCTACTGGCTGTGGCTCAGAGTGGGATACCTATGTTATGACTTTTTGGACCTGCATTTTGGTCTAGCAGTGACATACAGATTCTTCACCAGGCTAACTAGGATAATCTTCTGACACCTTTGTGTTCTCAGGGTCTGAGCTCTAGCCTACCTCGATGACTGGTTAGTTTGGGCTCCCAGTCATTTGGCTATTGGCATCCTGGTCAACGTGTCCTAGTTGGTGCTTTCTCAGGTCCTACTTTGGCTGGGATTAGTTTGGGATACCTGGAGGGGTCTCCCTTTCTCTTCCAGCATCTGCTCAAGCAGTGTGCCCATCTCTGGTATTGGGAGGCTTCAGCGTTCTAGGCTGTACCTCGAGCACCTGTTATGTAGTCTGAACTTTGCCTGTGTTGTTTATACTGTTGGTGTGTATGGCTGAAGGCACTCTTTTTACTGATGCCTTTGCAAAGTGCATGTTCTTTTGCCAATGTTGGGATTGCTCAGAGACCTAACACATCACATAACACAGGTGCCAAAAAATATTAGGAAGTTTTCTTTTGCAAACAGAGAGGTAAACGGTTAGAACAAATTAAGTGAGAAGGTGGTGGAGGCCAAAATCGTCAGTAGTTTCAAAGCATTATATAACAAAAAGTACTGGGAAGACGGGACACCACGAGCATTGCTCTCATCCTGTAACTACACATAGGTAATTACACTTAGGTAATTACCTTGTATAGATAATCAGATTCTGGTCGTGGCTCTCGGTAGGCCAACACGAGTCTCGGAGGCCTGTCACACACCTTGGACTTAGTGGTACAGTACTAGTATACAAGCACCAGGGAGCTACTGGGGGGCCTACCAGAAAATGGCATTTCATTACATTTAATGCCTGATTTTTATGTATTGTATATTGGTAATCAGCATTTTGTTCCAAAATAAATATTAGAGAAAGTCAAGATATTTGTTCAAATATATATATACAGTATACTGTACTGTATATCTAATGTTTTCCAGTGACTTCATATGGTCTCTGTTGGGACAGCATTCAGTATCCTGTTCACTCTTCCAAAGGCCAAAAAAAGAATCCCAAACCTCTTATGGCACAGGCATATGCTGTGAAGAATCGAGTGCCCTTTATGATGACTTACAAGGATGCTGAAGTCAGGCTTGCAGACAACATCTCGTACGAAGAATTTGTTCCAGATTCGGAAGATTTTGTTAGAGTTCGAGAGCAAATGAAAAAGGAAGTGCAGAAAGTTCTTGTACAGTATTACAACATATTTAAAAACCTGGATGTTGTGGAGCAGCATCAGTACTCTAGCATCACTATACAGAAGAGCGAGATTGTAAGTGTTACGTATCTTGTATGTTATAATCTCGTTGCAAGAATTACCACATCTATTTCTCTTTTTGGTACATTTTGCAACCCTTGCATGTTCATTATGTCTCAGGTTCTTCATGCCCAACAAATTGAACTGACTTGTAGGCAGGGTCACCAAAAGAACGCAAGAGAATAAATATTGAGTAAAGATTGTATCTTCCTAGATTTCCAGAAAGCTTTTGGTATAGTTCTCATTCCTGAAATTTGTTAAGGTCTTCCTACAACATTGTGCTACATAGTCTCCCTGGCTTTATGCCTTCTTTTGATAATTATTTACTTCCTGTAACAACAGTCGACCTCAGTTCCTACTTCCCTCATTAGCTTTGCATTATCTGCAAACATTAATATATATATGTGCTCCCTCCCTTTAACACTTTCGCTCGGGGATGACGCAGCATTGCGTCATCCGTTTACTGGCGGTAATGCCGGGGATGACGCAGCATTGCGTCATCCACTTTAAAAATTCGCCAAAAATCAGGTTTTTATCCGATTTTTTGGGGACTGGTTTTAAAATGTGCGCCGATGTCTTCCCATTTTCTTTGTTGAGCCTCGTGGCCCTCAGGCGGCTTGGCACATGCCATGGGCCCATTGTCTTTGCTCCACTGTTGTGACCAATGTCGCCTCCCCTCGCATCTCAAACGTGTGAACATTTCGGCTATTTCCCGTGGCTATATTTCTTACTGCGGCTTTAGAAACTATCTACGCTTACTCCACGATGGATAGTAATCATGAACAAGGCCCTTCCAGGAAGAAAATTGCGAAAGAAAGGCTTGAAAAGGGTGGGAATTGGGAGTGTAGCAGGAAGGCCTCTGAGCACTCACTCACGGCTAACGCGTGGCCCGTCTTCAACTCGTCGGCGGTTGGAGCGTGACCAGGTTTTTTTTTTTATATGCTAATGTTCCTATAGAGAATTTTATTACGAACCCATTGAGACCAAATTGAAAGACCTAGGACAAAAATTGAGGTGACCAGAGTGAAAATAGTGAAAACATTTTATCCCGTTTGCGCGCTCCCGGGTAACTCGTTCGCACTTTCTCTGTTTGCTGCGGGTAATTAGCTGGGCTTTTGGAGTTTATATGCATTTAGTGTTGTAGAGAATTTTATTGCGAACACAATGATACCAAATTTAATCTCGTAGAAGGAGAATTGAGGTGACAAAGTTGAAGAGAGTATACACTTTTCGAAATTAACGCGCGCTTCCGTGACACGCTGGGGTCCATATCGCCCTGTCGAGGGGTGGCGCGCGGGGTGAGCGAAAGTGTTAATAGGTTAATATAAAATAGAGAACAATAATCCTAGGACAGAATCTTGGGAAACTCTACTATCCACTCTTCTGTAGCCTAACATATTTTATTTGACTATGATCCTTTGTTTCCTGTTCATCAGTTATTCCCTTATCCAATTCAGAGTCTACCCGGTCGGCCGAGTGGACAGCACACTGGACTTGTGATCCTGTGGTCCTGGGTTCAATCCCAGGCGCCGGCGAGAAACAATGGGCAGAGTTTCTTTCACCCTATGCCCCTGTTACCTAGCAGTAAAATAGGTACCTGGGTGTTAGTCAGCTGTCACGGGCTGCTTCCTGGGGGTGGAGGCCCGGTCGAGGACCGGGCCGCGGGGACACTAAAAGCTCCGAAATCATCTCAAGATAACCTCAAGATATACCCCATTATCCCAGCATATCTCCAGCTATATACTTGTCCTAGTCTTTTGTGGGGCATATAAATAGCTTCTAGAATTCAGTCCAAAACAAGTGTAATTAATGAAGTTGGGAAAGGTTTATATGAACCTATTGGAAACTACACACTATTTGGATGGAACTAGAAGGAACAATTAAGGAAAAAGACCTGGGTGTTTATATATTATCATCACTAACACGAGAAGCTCGCATGAACAGGATAATGTCAGCGGTATGTGAGAAGCGAGCTAAGATAAGAACACCATTTAAAAATATGAACACTGAACATTTTAAGTCCATTTTAAGTCCATACACTCTGCCTATGAGAGACCATTGGGGTATGCATTACTAGTATGGATATTGGCCCTAATGAGCAGTGCCTTAACCCTTGCACTGCTCACCTATTTTCGGCAAAAACGTCTTGGTGCAATTGTCAAGGACATATTTTTGTTATTATTACAAATGTTCAGGTAAATTTAATGTCAAAATGTTTCCAAAGTCAACTATTTCCATTTCAAAACACAAATAGTAATGAAAACATTAAAAAACATTAAAATATAGCCAAATTAAAAAACAAAAAGCACAACTCTCTGAGCGCCTAAAGGCGCTTTGCGCAGTGCAGTGGTTAATCACAAAGAGACCTCAGCAAAGAGAAACACTGGGGAGGCCTCTGTAGTCCATTACCTATCCTGATTTACCAATGGAACAATAAGTCTGACAACATCAGAGTGCATGCCATTTACCAACCCTGTTGCCTGATATGAGAGCTAGTAAGAGGCAGCCTTGAACATGCCATCTTTATCACAGTGAGAAACTCAAAACTAACAGGAAGTCAGATGCCAGATCAAAGAACCATGACAGCTCAGGAAGGGCATGAGAAGGGCAAAGAAAAGAAGGTTTGAGCTAGTTTAATTAATGGTGTCAAAAATAAGTGCAAAATTAAGTCCTAACAAGAAAAGCTTTGCCAGTGTTGAGCAATAGGAGTGACTATTTGGTATAAAATGATGTTTTAAGAAACATCCACAAAAAAATTACACCATAACCATGCTGACATTAAAGACACCTGATATGGGGCCAAGAGTTGTCGAAAGACCTCCAAGCTGCCTCATACTGTGGCCTCTACGAAGGCAGCAAGCATAGTGCTAGAGTGTCTTTCATTTGCCTCCCGTACAAATGACAGTATTTTACAATTATTTAGGAACTCCACAAACCAGGATAGACGGAGAGCAGAGAACCATCCTGATTGGTGAAGCCGCTGATCCAGTGGGAGGGGTGTAGCCTTGGATACAAATCTAACCATATGGAAGCCAAAAGAACAATTTGGCTTGCCAAGCTCTGCAACTTATTCAGGATGAGAGGAAGAACCTGTACCTGCTACAAAGGAAGCAGGTACAGAAAATCCCACTAATTTTGATCTAGGTGAAAAGCATCCACTGCTACAACCTTCTTACACATCTAAAGGAAGCAGCCACTATCTGCTTTCCACTCCATCAAAATCTTACAGAAGCAGCACAGATTGTTGAGAGCCTGACGGGGGCCTGATAGCTGAGTGGACAGCGCTTCAGATTCGTAGTCTTGAGGTTCCGGGTTCGATCCCTGGTGGAGGCGGAAACAAAATGGGCAGAATTTCTTTAACCCTGATGCCCCTGTTACCTAGCAGTCAATAGGTACCTGGGAGTTAGACAGCTATTACGGGCTGTTTTCTGGGGGTGTGTAACAAAAAGAAAGCCTGGTCGAGGACTGGGCCGCGGGGACGCTTAGCCCCGAAATCATCCTAACACTTTTGCTCGTTAACAACGCAGTATGACATAAAAAATTTAGTAAGACGAATGTTCGGTAACGACGCAGTATGGCGTCAAAAATTTAAAAAATTTGGCCTGCTTTCAGCTTGACTGTGGGAGGGACGCACCTCAGTTTTGGACATTATAAGCATCTATTCCTGTAGGAAATTTCATTGCGAATACATTGATACCAAAATGAAAGACCTAGGACGAGAATTGAGGTAACAAAGTTGAAAAGGGTATACACATTTTATTGCTCTTGAGTGCTCACATGGGTAACACGCTGTCACTTTCTCTGTTTGCTGTGGTTGGTACACTGGGCTTTTGGACTTTATATATGCATATACTCCAGTTGGGAATTCTATTGCGAACACAATGATACTAAAATGAAAGACCTAGGACGAGAATTGAGGTGACTAAAGTGAAAAGAGTGTACACAGTTTATTGCTCTTGCGCGCTCCCAGGTAACACGCACACTTTCTCTGTTGCGTATGGTACGCCGGCTTTTGAACTTTATATGCCTTTAGTCCTGTAGACTCTGCCTGTAGAGAATTCTATTGCGATCACATTGATACCAAATTGAAAAACCTAGGACAAGAATTGAGGACAAAGTTGAAAAGAGTATACACTTTTCAGTTTTACCGCGCTCTCCCGTGGAATGGCAGGCGCACCTTGGGGTGGAGCGGTGCTCTCTTGCCCAGAGCGCTGTTAAGATAACCTCAAGATAGCATATTTGACACCCCCATGAATATTAACTGCATTTAAAACTAAACTTTGAGATACCATAAGTGATGCTAGTGGATTTGACCTTGTAGCACCTGTGCATGAACTGGGGGTAGCTACTGGCAGGGCCACCCACAAAAATGGAATTTTTTTGATAAAAATAAACAAAATACAGTACTCTACAGTATTGGTATAGACAATAAATAGGGAAAAATGGAAATAAGTATTTATAGAATGAGAGTTTGGACCTGAGCTGGTGCTAAATAATGCATTTCAATTTGTCAAGATTTCACTGTATTGTTGTGATCTAAATTTCTGGCAAATGTCTTCCTATCCAATTTAGGTCAAGAATTAGATAATAATTGCTGATAAATTTTGAAAGTGTCTGCTGTGAAAACAATGTAAATTCATTCATCTATTAAATTATTACTCATTGATTTGTCATGATGTAATGATCTTTTCTCCTTAAGTGTATTAACTTGTGAAATCTTGTAAAGGTGGACTGTGGTGCCGTATTCCGAAGTCCAGCCGATAATGGTTCTGTGGCAACACTAATGAAAGACTTGAAAAGATACATGGCTTATGACGAAGGCGAGCCCATACCGTTGTGTATCTTTGGGGGACAAGACGCGGTGGAGAAGATGGTGAGCGCTAAGGATGTTATGTCTTGCTTCTCTGAAAAGCTGGACAGATTAGATGGTCTTGAGCCCGCAATAACAGACTTCGGTCGGCAGATACTCCTGGCAAAGGTACCAATGAAATTTGTTGTTTTTTTATTTCTGTTTCATTGTATCTTAAGAAATTGCCTACAAGATGCATTGTTGATGATAGGACTTGATATAATGGCTAAAGACAAATAAGAGATAATTTCCTTGATTGTTAGTGTAACCATAATTTGTTACTTATAAGATGATGTAAATTGTCACAGCCTAAATAGTTTTCAGAAATTTGAGGCTTAAGCTTACAGGGATGTGTATGTTCCTTATTTATTTCAGGATATCATCAAAACTTTTTTCCCAAGTGGGATGTCAAGAGAGTTTGGAAGCCTGCATCATTTGTGCGAATTTGAAAAGACGTTACTCAAGAAGTGCGAGGAGTCAGACTTTAATGCAATTTGCACAATTTTGAAACTTGTTACACACAGTTATATTGTTGCTCTTGCTGAGAACAAGTTGCTAAGCACAGCAAACAAGAATCAGTTACATGCAGACGAGAAGCAGAGAATTTTGGAGAAAATCTCTGAAGAAATTGTGGCCGATATATGGCCCAATGTTGATGGGTCGTCCCTGGACATTGTACGCCAAGGAAATGAACCTGTTAGAGATGGAGGTAATTCAGAAGTACTTTATTGTTTATTGCTTTTATGCTAAGTGATTTTATGATGCTTTAAATTATATTTGGATCTCATTGCAGTGTAGTGGACCCCTTGATATAATGGAAGGATTTCATGACATTTTGATGGAGTTGTAATATTGACCAACATTTTTGGGAAATACCTGTTAGTTTTCATATTTAAATGTTCCTTTTTTCTTAGTGATTTTGATTAAGAAATGCTCACTAAACTGTGCTCTATTGTTGCTCTAGTTAAAACCTATTATCTGTATCCAAAAATAGCCATAAATAATGATTATATTTGTTACTGTAAAAAATACCGGGTAGTTCTTAACCCAAAACAGCAGAGAATGGGTTAAAAATTTGTCACCACATGCTGTAATGGGATTCCTCTATTTATTTTTTATATATCTTTTTAATCTGAATTACTCTTGCGTGTGCCATAAAGGGAAATGTAAAGTGAAATTTATTTAGGGGGATTAAACAGTTTGATATGAGCAAAAATAAACTTTTCAATAGGGTTACTGTGGATTTAGGGATCTTGTAGTACAGTTGGCTTTATTTTCGACTCAGTTGGGGAACCTGGGTTCAATTCCTAGGCAGGACAGAAAGGGTTTGGCATGCTTCCTTTCACATAATGCTTCTGTTCATCCAGCAATGAACAGATATCCAGGAATTAGGCAACTATTGTGGGGTTGCATCCTGGTGAGGGCCGGCAGTTCAACCTTGGGGATACCGCGATACAAACCCTATAGTATATACTGTCTGCGCTCACTAATCCAGATCATATGCGGCCCACGCCACTTAGTAACCTGGATATCCGGATTAGTGGGAAGTCTTACCGGGAAGGTCTAAAATGAACTTACTGTATTTGTAATTTATTTTTTGTACCACAGAAAATGTAAATCATATTTCTACACACAGTAACCTTAACAGACAGATTCCTTTTGCATATTTAACAGATTTCACCTCATCTAGCATATTTCCCATACCCCAACTTTGAAAACAAATTTTTAAAGGAGGAAGGGCTCATATTTTAGTGAACAAAAACTGCTGCAACTGGAAATGGAAATAAACCATAGAAACTGATTTTAAATATGCTCAATGGCCTTCTTGAGGCCCCAACTCTTTCTTCTAAAAGTGTCTGTCTACAGGAAATCATTCAAAACTTGATTGTAGCCATATTTAGAGAGCTACCTTTCATACCCTAATATTTCCCCTCACTCCTGGGCTGATTTCACAGAACAAATATTATTTTCAACCTATCACATGAAGGACAACTATCAGGAGAACTTGTCTATAAAAAGATTTAATCACATCTGACATATTTCCCAGCTTTGAAATCTCATTTTCAAAGGAAGATGGACCATGTTTTAGTGATAGGAAACCCTGAAAATGAAAATGAACTATAGAATTTAGTTTAAATATTCTCAGTAGCTTCTTCAAGGCTCCAGCTGTTTCTTGTAATGTTGCATCCATCTATGAATGTCATTATAAATATGATGGGAGCCATATTAAGAAAATTACCAATCATGCCCCACTATTTCCCAATCTCTATGGGGTAATTTCTCTGAACAAAATTATAATTTCAACCTATCATATGATGGGTAATTTTCGCACCAGCCTGTGAACGCTCTCCCAGCATCCTAAGCAGATCTGTACGTCCCTCGCTTTCTTTTCATAAAGCAAAGCTCATAGGTCTCCGATGTCACTCGGTAACCTGGCACCCACCCACCCATCCTTTTCCAGTAACCTGGATTTATGTCCAAATTTTGCAAAGTTTTGCAGACAAAAACTAGGACTCGATTTTGGCCTGATTACCGAACGGTCTGGGTTAACTTGGTCTGGATTAGAGAACTCCTACAATATATATTCAAAGGCTTCTTGTTCCTGACAAAAATAATTATTTAATTAAACAAAATTCTTCAATTAATGTTTAATTGCTTAAAAAATAGATAGAATATCCCATAACTCAACCTTTTCCAGGCTGAGGTATTTCTGATATTTCAACACTTAATGTAGATTATTCCCTTTTGAGTAAAATTACGCTGTGGTAGAAGTCATAGTTGTTGCTGGAGTAGGAAAGGTTAGGAACATGCACTTCATTGGACCAGTTTTGAAATATTTGTGAATTCTTAATAATACTGTACATCATTGCTATGATTAATAATGTGTAATTATCTAAGTGTAATTACCTAAGTGTAGTTACAGGATGAGAGCTATGCTTGTGGTGATCTGTCTTCCCATTACTCTTTGTCGTATAACGCTTTGAAGCTACTGATGGTTTTGGTCTCCACCAACTTCTTGCTTAGCTTGGTCTCACTTAGCTAGTGTGTGTAATTACCTAAGTGTAATTACCTAAGTGTAGTTACAGGATGAGAGCTACGCTCGTGGTGTCCCGTCTTCCCAGCACTCTTTGTCATATAACGCTTTGAAACTACTGACGGTCTTGGCCTCCACCACCAATAAAAATCCTCAGAGGAATCGACCGGGTAAACAAGGATAAACTATTCAACACTGGTGGTATGCGAACAAGGGGACACTGGTATGCGAACAAGGTGTGTGTGTGTGTGTGTGTGTGTGTGTGTGTGTAATTACCTAAGTGTAATTACCTAAGTGTAGTTACAGGATGAGAGCTACGCTCGTGGTGTCCCGTCTTCCCAGCACTCTTTGTCATATAACGCTTTGAAACTACTGACGGTCTTGGCCTCCACCACCTTCTCACTTAACTTGTTCCAACCGTCTACCACTCTATTTGCGAAGGTGAATTTTCTTATATTTCTTCGGCATCTGTGTTTAGCTAGTTTAAATCTATGACCTCTTGTTCTTGAAGTTCCAGGTCTCAGGAAGTCTTCCCTGTCGATTTTGTCAATTCCTGTTACTATTTTGTATGTAGTGATCATATCACCTCTTTTTCTTCTGTCTTCTAGTTTTGGCATATTTAATGCTTCTAACCTCTCCTCGTAGCTCTTGCCCTTCAGTTCTGGGAGCCACTTAGTAGCATGTCTTTGCACCTTTTCCAGTTTGTTGATGTGCTTCTTAAGATATGGGCACCACACAACAGCTGCATATTCTAGCTTTGGCCTAACAAAAGTCATGAACAATTTCTTTAGTATATCGCCATCCATGTATTTAAATGCAATTCTGAAGTTAGAAAGCATAGCATAGGCTCCTTGCACAATATTCTTTATGTGGTCCTCAGGTGATAGTTTTCTATCTAGAACCACTCCTAGATCTCTTTCTTTATCAGAATTCTTTAAAGATTTCTCACATAATATATAGGTTGTGTGGGGTCTATGTTCTCCTATTCCACATTCCATAACATGACATTTATTAACATTAAATTCCATTTGCCAAGTGGTGCTCCATATACTTATTTTGTCCAGGTCTTTTTGAAGGGCATGACAGTCATCTAAATTTCTTATCCTTCCTATTATCTTAGCATCATCAGCAAACATGTTCATATAATTCTGTATACCAACTGGTAGATCATTTATGTACACAATAAACATCACTGGTGCAAGAACTGAACCCTGTGGTACTCCACTTGTGACATTTCTCCATTCTGATACATTGCCTCTGATTACTGCCCTCATTTTTCTATCAGTCAGAAAATTTTTCATCCATGATAGAAGCTTACCTGTCACCCCTCCAATATTTTCCAGTTTCCAGAACAACCTCTTATGTGGAACTCTGTCAAAAGCCTTTTTTAGGTCCAGATAGATGCAGTCAACCCAACCATCTCTTTCCTGTAATATCTCTGTGGCTCGATCATAGAAACTGAGTAAATTCGATACACAGGATCTTCCAGATCGAAAACCATACTGTCTGTCTGATATTATATCATTTCTCTCTAGGTGTTCTACCCATTTAGTTTTGATTAGTTTTTCCAATACTTTCACTATTACACTTGTCAATTATACAGGTCTATAATTGAGGGGGTCTTCCCTGCTGCCACTTTTGTAGATTGGAACTATGTTAGCCTGTTTCCACCCGTCTGCTACGATTCCTGTACACAGGGATGCCTGAAAGATCAGGTGAAGTGGAATGCTGAGCTCAGATGCACATTCTCTCAGAACCCATGGTGAAACGCCATCTGGGCCAGCTGCTTTGTTCTTACCGAGCTCCTTGAGCATTTTTTCCACTTCGTCTCTAGACACCTCTATGTGTTCTATGTTGTTCTCTGGAATTCTTATTGTATCTGGTTCCCTAAAGATTTCATTTTGTACAAACACACTTTGGAACTTTTCGTTTAGTGTTTCACACATTTCCTTTTCATCTTCCGTGAATCTATTTCCCATTTTCAACCTCTGAATATTATCCTTTACCTGCAATTTGTTGTTTATGAATTTATAGAATAGACCTGGTTCTGTTTTACATTTGTCCGCAATCCCTTTTTCAAAATTTCTTTCTGCCTCTCTCCTCACTGCCGTGTAGTTGTTTCTCGCATCTTTGTATCGCTGGTATGTTTGGGGGTTCGGCCTCTTCCTGTATTGATTCCATTTTTGTCTTTCGGTCTCTAGCCCTCTCGCAATTTCTATTGAACCAATCCTGTTTCCTAGTTCTGCATCTCTGTTTTGGTATAAATTTTTTTGTGCCTTTATCATATATTTCACAAAACTTGCCATACATCTCATTCACTTCCTTGCCTAGCATCAAGTCTGTCCAATTATACTCACTAAAAAAATTTCTAAGGTCACCATAATGTCCTCTCCTGAAGTCTGGTTTTTCAACTGCTTCAACCTCCTTATTTTCTTCCAGCTTATAATGCATTGCATACTTTATTCCCCAAAAGACATGGTCACTTTTACCCAAGGGAGGAAGGTACTGAATGTCAAATATCTCTTCCTCCTTCCTGGTAAATATCAAATCTAGCATGGAGGGAACGTCCCCTTCCCTCATCCTCGTAGCTTGTTTAACATGTTGATACAAGAATGTTTCCAGGATGAGGTCTACAAATTTACAGGTCCAAAAATATTCTGTTTTAGCTTCATATGCTTCCCAGTCTATGGATTTCAAGTTGAAGTCACCGACTATCAACAGTCGTGATCTATCGTTATCCGCTCTCGCTATAATCTCTCTCATTATTGTTATAAGACCTTCACGTTTACTATCTAGCTCCTCCTTTGACCATGTGCTGCTTGGCGGTGGACTATATGCATTTATCATCATTAGTTTATCATCCTCATAGCAGATCTCTAGTGCTATTATGTCAACTTCTTGTGGATTGGCAGTCATTATTTCCTTCACCTTTAGGTGTTCTTTTACCAGCACAGCAACGCCACCGCCTTTCCTAATTTTTCTGTCCCGTCTCCAAATTGAGTAGCCCCTTGGGAATATGACCTCATTTAAAATTACATCTTAAAGTTTTGTCTCCGTGAGTGCAACAATGTCTGGTGTCTGCAGCTGTATTACATCACTTAACTCCAGTATCTTCGATCTCACTCCATCTATGTTGGTGTATGCAATCTTCAGGAACTTGTTCCCCCTCTCCTTATTCTTCACTCCCCCTCTCTCTATTGATTTTGTTGGTTTGCCTTTATGTACCACTTTACTGGTTTGCCTACCCCTATCACTTTGTAGAAAAAAGAATTTATTTCTTCTTCATTCCTGCTCTCATTTAAATGTTTTGCCTCGGCGAGGTTCAGTTTCAGCTTCCCTCTATCTTCTTTTGAAAGATCTCGTCTTAATGACCACCCTTTCCCATCCTCATCCCTTTGCAATTTTCTAGCATTCCTTAGTACTTCTTCCATCTGTTTGGCACCGTTTAGAGTGATCCTCAAAGGTCGATCTTTCCCTTTTACGTACCTGCCTATTCTCCTGTAGTCGCACACATTCTCTCTGTTTGTAAGACCTTCCACGAGGCCAACAATTTTATCTACTACTTTAGCTTCTTCTACAGCTCTTTCTGACCTAGATGTTATCGCCTTTTCTTTGCAGCCAAAAATGATCAGGGACTTACTCCGATCAACTGTGTTTTGCACCAACTTCGGGTTAGATGCCAATTCTTTCCTCACTTCTAGCCTAATGTTTGTTTTATCTTGGTTGCTGCAGTGTTTGACTTCCTTTACTGCTTCTTCTATTTTTTCCTTCTCCTTGGCCACTTGTGCATAAGTGAGTTGCATATCTTTCTTGCACTGTTCTATTCCCTGTGTAACTTCCTCCATCTGTGCTGACAAAAGCTGTTTCTCCTGTTGAATTTCCTTGCCTAACCTATTGTAGTCATTTATGTTTAAATTTACTTTAACTTCTTCCAAAGCTATTTTTAAGAGTTTATTTTCTTCTTCCATGGCTTTGCAATTTGTTTGGCTTTGCAAATTTGCAAATTTGCAATTTGTGTGTGTGTGTGTGTGTGTGTGTGTGGTGTGTGTGTGTGTGTGTGTGTGTGTGTGTGTGTGTGTGTGTGTGTGTGTGTGTGTGTGTGTGTGTGTGTGTGTGTGTGTGTGTGTGTGTGTGTGTGTGTGTGTGTGTGTGTGTGTTTCTGAGCTCTTACATTGAGCTGCTCCCTCAACGAAGAGCTCAATGTATTCAGACCTTTTCATGTTTACAAAATAAAGAGGACATTTAGTTTGGTATATAATTACTGTACTATTAAAATAATTACATTTAGAATTGTTCTTAAAATTAGAAGATTTGTCAAATAATGAAATCTAACTTCAGATGTTGCCTAAAATATATATTCTCTGTTAAGACACTTGAAGATGAAAAGATGACGATGTTTCAGTCCGTCCTGGCCCATTATCAAGTTGATTGATAATGGTCAATCACAATCGACTTGATAGTGGTCCAGGACGTACCGAAACGTCGTCGTCTTCTCATCTTCTAGTGTGCGGTTTGGTCATCATTTTTCAGCCACGGTATTGTGACTTATCATCCACATATAGAATCATCCACATCAGAAGCTGCCTCGTATGGGCCAATAGGCCTTCTGCAGTTGCCTTTGTTCTTATGTTCTTATATATATTTATACAGTATTCATATAATTAAATACTGTAATTATTCTACAAAAATATGTTATTTACTATTAATTTTATGATTATATATGAACTAGTGGTATTTAAATATATTTACAGAGTGCTCCTTTGGCGATTGTGTCAATTTTCGGGACAAGGCTCGCCTGCCCTGCTCGGAGCGTTGTGGACGGCCATTTTATTTCTGCTGCAAAAAGCCACTGAACAATGGCTTGGTAGAGTGCGCCAAAAGGGAGAACTGCCCCCAAGGTGCTTGGTTTCATCTTAACAAGAAATGCTCTGGGCTGGTTGAAGCCCCCGAGGGTGAGTGTCACCAACCCTTAAACAGCCCCAGTCACTCTTTACGGTTACCTCCTATGCTCAAATCGCCAAATACAGTTTTTCTGTAGGGAGCTTTTCTGTATCAGGGAGCCCCTTCAGCTCTCTGATACCAGGGAGCCTCTGGGGCTCACTCAGAAAATGGCATTTCTTTACATTCAATTTTTTTTCTTTCTTTAGATGTGTTAAATGGGTGCAAGTACTGTATATCTTATTGTACAGGTGGTATACTGGGGGAAAATGGCAGAATAGAGGGGCACCACAAAGTTTAAAGGGCATTTAATCCTGCCTTTGTAGTTCAGTGTTATGGTTTGAAAATTATCAGTGACTGAAATGTATAGGAGTACTTCTTCACGGGGCCTTCTTTGTAAGGCAACGTGAAGAAGTCACTATTTTCTCATTTGTAACGTTAAAATAGAATCAGAAATGAGTGAGGTAGGTTTGGGTGGGGATAGAGGGATGAAGGAAGGAAGAGCAGGATGGAGGGGAAAGGACAGACAGGTGGGAAAGGAGGGAGTGAGGGTTAGACAAATGGATGGATGGAGGTGAGGGGGAAGGGGGGCAGAAAATACTTTATTGGGCTCTAATGTGCATAATACTTACTATTTTTCTGTCATGAATACTGTTGTATTTTGTTTAAGCTACGGTACTTCATTTGTGTTATGGAAGATACAGTCTGTACCTTTGTTAATGAATCTTAAATGTATTATATCTTATTTTGTTTAAAATATATATACTGTATAATGAAATCAAATTATGCTTGAGATAAAGTGTGAATTTTATTAACATGTTCATTAGGATTTGACAATATATTTTTATCATGGGGGTGAACTACAGTAAACAACTCAAATAAAAATTCTTATAAGTTAGCAGCACAAAGAGTAAGAGATGAGGTATGAGGATAGGCAATGCTTTTCGTAAGAAATGAATGTATAAATTATGTGTAACCTGCGGGCCAAGCTCTCACAAGTTGAGCCTGGCCCTGGGCCGGGCTTGAAGAATAGAAGGACTCCCAGAACTCTTATCTAGGGACAACCTGTCCTCATACTTATGCATCCCATTTTCATGTTAACAACAGCATCAGAACTCTTAAGAGCTTTAGTAAAATCAATAGCACCATGATTTTAATGCTTCCTTGCATTAATAAACATCTACCAGCCTGTGTTAGACACGTTACCCAAGTTTGTAGGCTTCTCGTTAAGTAAAACCACTTTGAATTTTATGCTTGACAAATTGTGAGAATGGGCTATTGTTTGAAGCCTTGACTAAATGTGACAATTTTGTGAAGTGTATGTATGGTAAAAAATAACTTAAGGGTTGTATTGGACTTAATTTCTGCTGATTTCTGGCACTGTGCACTAATTGTTCTTAATATTTTCATATATTTTGAACCACAATTTAGCTTGGCAAATCCAAGGGGACTATTTTCTTTTCAATTTTGTCATCAGATGATTGGTTGTGTAGCACGTGTGCTCTCAAGAGACGATTGGCAAGCATCCCAGAGAAAAAGGATGGCCTCTGGGAATACCACCGTGGGCTGTTATGGTACTCTCTCTTCTTCTGGGTAGGCCACTCTGCCGAACAGCAGGGCAATGGTTGGCTCCTCCACGCGGTGTGGAAGGTGTCTATGCCACTGTTTGAGAGCAGAGGATACAGTGATTACCTTCGACAAGGATATGCCTTTCTCTCTGGTAAGTTCCCCAGTACTGCAAGATAACTTTAAAAAATAAATTAAATCCTCGAAAAAAAATATTTGTAAATAAAATTCATTGTAAATTGGACATGTTTTATGGTATCTTTTACAGTCACAAGTGTGTCCCCATTTTTCATGTTATTGACTAGCATCAGAAGTTGAGGGCTGCAGTGAAATCATTAGCTCCATAATATTGATGCCTCCTTGGATTAATGAGGGAAGGGAGGGAACTATCAGGAGATAGCACCAAACTATTAAACTGTATAGCACTTGGATGGGATCAGGATAAGGATTTGGGATGGGACGGAGGTGAAGGAATGGTGCCCAACCACTTGAACGGCCGGGGATTAAATGCCGACCTGCATGAAGTGAAACCGCCGCCCTACCGTCCAGCCCAAGTATGATGCTTCCTTGGATTAGTGAGTGTCGGCCAACCTGTGTTAAGTGGGTTGCTGTAGGCAATGTTCAAACATGAAAATGTTTATCCAGCCTGAAATGTTTCCAACAATAAATGCATGTCTATATGGTAGGTTTCTATATATCCTTGTTTTATATATAGGTTGCAACAAAAGTCTGTTCTCATTTGGGAACAAAATTTATAATTTTTCTGTGGAGAGCCCCACTGGCTCCCTGGAGCTATACTGGGCTGATATGCATATATTAGACTGTGGCATCAGTCAATTCGATTGGAGTTCTTAGCCTAACAGGAACCATGAGCCAGAACCTGGCCCCCCCTCAGAGAGGCACGAGGAACAATGGCCTATAGAAACCTCTCATGTGGTTGGAAGCATTCAATGCCTGCCATAAGGGGCCTGACAGCTGAGTGGATAGCGCTCCAGATTTGTAATCCTGAGACTCCAGGTTTGATTCCCAGTGGAGGCGGAAACAAATGAGCAGAGTTTTGCCCTGATGCCCTGTTCATCTAGCAGTAAGTAGGTACCCGGAAGTTAGTTAGCTGCTATGGGCTGCTTCCTGGGGGTGTGTAACAAAAAGGAGGCCTGGTCGAGGACTGGGCCACAAGGATGCTAAGCCCTGAAATCATCTCAAGATAACCTCTCAAGATAACCATCTACCGGGTTAGGCACCCAGAAAGGTAGGCATCCCAAATCAAACTACAGCTTGTTAAAAACTGCGACCAAAAGCCGAACTAGCAAGTAGAAATCCCCAAACCAGAACGGTGAGGTCAGTCCTTCTGTCAGGCTCACAGCACGGGTGCCGGAGTTCGTGGCGGTGTGGCTTTCACTTCAGAGGGTTTGTGTCACTCACGGATCGATGACTCGGCTCCATTCAGACTGCTCCCCAGTGGTTCATTGCCTGAACCAAGAGGGGGTTCAATGCGGTGCTGCACTCTTTGGGGCTGGTCACTTCGGATGATTCCCTCTACTTGATTCTCGGGGTTTGGCTCACCAGATGGTTAATGTCAAGGGAGTGTCCAATGTCCAGGCAGATGGGCTGTCCCGGTTCATTCCTCTGTTCACGGAATGGACGGTCGACATCCGACTCCTTCGGTTGGGTCTGCCGGATGTACGGACGCCCTGTGGTGGACCTCTTCACGTCGGCATGATCGAGGCGTCTCTTGGTATATTTGGCGCCCTTCCCCGGCTGCGAGGTCGTCGGAGTTGATGCCCTTTGGACAGGATTGGTTGAGGTGGGGTTACCTGCACCGCTTCCTCCCGGTACAGCTGTTGTTTCGGGTTCTGTCTTGATTAGACTACTACTACAGGACTACTCAACCAGGGTGAGTGTCCTGGCCGCACCATACCTTGTTAATGTTCCGGTCCTACTCGTGCTTGTGTAGCTTTGGGTCGCAGGTTGTTGCCAGTTGTCTTGACTTCGAGTTGAGGAGCGAGTGATGACTGTTATTCTTTTCTTATCTTTGGTTAGGTAACTCCGGGGTGCCGACAGGGGCTCTCCACAGAAAACCAGCGTTGAATGTAATGAAACGCCATTTTCTGGGCGAGTTCCGGAGGCTCCCCGGCAAAACCTGTCGGCGGTTTTCGTGTGTTTGACATTCAGCCTCTGAACTGGGGTTGGATAGCCGGTGCAGGGGGTCTGGGGCTCCCCCTTTCCCCTCCCAGGGAGGGGGAAGCTACACAGACAGCGGCATGAAGGCGATGGTGATTTCATGCTTGTTTGCTTTTTTTGGTTTGGGGAGTTTTGCTTGCTAGTTCGGCTTTCGGTTGCAATTTTTAACCAGCTGTAGTTTGATTTGGGACTCCTACCTTTCTGGGTGCCTGATGGCAGACATTGAATGCTTCCAACCACATGGGGGTTTCTATAGGCCATTTGGCTCCTTGTGCCTCTCTGAGGGGGCCCAGATTCTGGCTCATGGTCCCTGGTAGACTAAGAACTCCAATTGAATTAACTGATGCCATGGTCTAATATATGTATATCAGCCCGGTATAACTCCAGGGAGCCTCCGGGATTCACCCAGAAAATGGCACTTCATTATATTCAATGCTGGTTTTTTATTTATAGTCATCAAATGTTCAAATTGAGCTCCGAAATTTATACTCTACACACAGTAATTCACATTCTGAGATCGTGAAATATTTTGCCTTTGATTTTTAACCTTGAGAATGGAGTTTTGTTACTGCCTGTACATGAATATCTCTAATATCATTACAGTATATCAAAGGAGATATGGTAATACAGATGTTAATTGTACTATCATTGATTACTGTACAGGTACTAAACAAATGTACATTTTATTTTTAATCAGCATTGAAGTTTTTGTTGAGATATAATCTCATTCTTATTTTGTTTACCATCATAATATTTTTGTATTTGAGATGGGAGGCATATCATTGTCTTCTGTAATTTCTCCACACATGATACATATTCACCAGGGGTGGCAGGACGTATTCCCCGACTGGCAGCACATGATACTGTCCACAACCGTACAGTTAATGTCAAGGGTGGTGCAAATAACAACATGAGCTGGGATCGTGCTGTGGAGCTTTTCAATCGGGAATTACTGAGTTAGTATTCAGTTATTCTTTTATTATTTTGATTGGCTTGAGTCGAGTTACTATATCTGCAGTTTCAAATGGTTTGGTATCGTTCTTGATGCTTCGGTTTAAGTGGTGCTCTCGTTGCCTCTTGACTGATCTCAAGTGCTTGCTTGCACTGCTGCTTCTGCCACCTAGCCAGTATATTTATTTGTATAATAAATTTATTCTTTAGCTTTGTTTCCTTTAATATTCGGTAACTTATATTTAACCTGATTAGAATATTTAAACGAACTCATTTAGGCAAAATCTTCAGTTACGCAGAGTGTAACTTAATACAATATAATATTTTACATAGACTAGCTAAAATTTTACCTTGTTCAAGATACACGGCCAAAACCAACCTGCTCTTGCATCTTACAGGACAACCAGCCCTTAAAAGCCAAAGGAAAACTTCTACAGCATCCAATAAAGCAATTGGTTGTTGGATACAGTCAATCAACAGGGCATGGGAGAAGGAAATTTGCAATGGACCTGACATGAAGGAAAAGGACCGGACAAAAATTGTTCAGGAATATGTCTCCTTCATGAACTCGCGCAGTGTCCTCCAGAAAGTCCCTGGTCGCAGGCCGTACAAGGATATTGACTATGCTCACGTTATTTGTATCCAGAATCCCAGTGGATTTATTGACAAGCTGAAGGAGTTGAGTGAAAAAGATGTCTCACGTCAGATGAATGAAAGGGAGAGTGATGTTTTGGAGTAAAAAAAAAAAAAAGATGAAGGCAAAACGAAAGGTGACACACTCAAATACAGGTCAATTGTAAATCTTGATTTGCTGATTTCTGTTTATACTAATTGGTGCTATGATTTACATGCATTTGAAAAACAACTGCATTTTCCTACTTTTTTTTTTCTTACAAGAATTACTGTGCTAATGGTAATAGGTATAAAGTATTTTTCAAACAGTCATAGTTAAGAAGCTGCAGTGAAAACTTGCAAAAGGTCTAGACGTCTCATTTTATTTTTCCAAGGTAGTTAATTGTCTTAATTAAGTTCTTTTAATATGTCTTGACAAAGGCAAAATTGCTCATTCAGTAACACTTTACTGAGAGGAAAGGGGGGGAAAAATAGAGTACGTATCGGCAAATAGCCTGAATATAATTCCAGCAATCAATTTTTGGTATCAATATTTTTAATAGCACAGATTTTTTTCCAAAGAGTAAATAAGGCTATAGTTGCACCATTTGTACAGATGCATGAAGACAAATGTCTGGTGTTATGAACAAATAATTTTGATATATTGTTCCCTGGGGGTTACCACACTGCATAACCTTCAGAATAAGATCAACAACAGGGTAGCTCTAGAATGGCCACTATAGGATATTATTGTGTGTGTGTGACAACCCTGGGTTGTGTCTTCTCCTTGGAGAGTGGCTAATACGTTTCTGCCGTCTATGGTAATTTCACTGTAATCGAAACAAATCTTGGATTTTTTTTTTTTGTATCTTTAGTGTCCTGGGCATTATTTGTTTCAAATGATTTAATTTGTATGATAATTGGCAAAATTATTGAATTTTTTATATATACCTGCCACACATGTGACCATGAAAGCATATATATACATACATATGGTATTGCCACATATTATTATTAATACTAGACACCTCTATTCCCCTCGACTTGCCTTCAGAATGTAGGCAAAATAATTTTTGTTTTTTGTTTTATAATGTATCTATATCTACCTAATGTGCTGTCATTTTCCTAGGTCCATATTTTTGTTAACTAGCAATATTTTTGTTTGTATATTTAAATATTTGACAGATCTGCTTAGTTTTTACAGTGAATAATTCTAAAGTGCTGAGACAGTGTGAAAGAAAACATTTGCTTGGGCTCATTGTATATAAGCAGTTAGTCTTACCATATGTAAGTTGAGGGACTAATTATGCACGAGTAGATGGACTCTTTGGGGCGCGAGTACAGGAACTCTTTGGGGTGAGTGGAGGGTATCTTTGTACATGAGTGGAAGGTCTGTGCGTGTGAGTAGAGGATGTCTTTGTGCATGAGTAGTTACTTTCTATGCGAGTAAAGAAAGTTGTCGTGTAAGAGTATAGGATGCTCATGAACCTATCTAGAGGTTTTGCGTACTTGGGGCACCTTGCGCTATATAGTCTTCCGGACTTGGCGTTTTCTATTGTTAATTACTTGACCCCACCTTGCTTCCTTTGGGAAATGGTGCAGAAGGATTAGGTAAGAGAAAATTATTCATACATTTTTAATATTCTTCTGGATAAAATATACAGTATAGTGGCACCTTCTCAGAGTATGTCCGGGTACATTAGTTTTTCCAGTATGACAATGTATAATGTTTTACCTACAAAGGCTTCATACCTCTGAATTTTTGGTATATCCACAGTAGCAGAAACCACATTTCACTTTGCCTTGGGGTTAGTGTGGCTTATATTAGGTATACTGGCTTTTAGCCCATACTTAGCTACACTACAATTACTGTACCCTCTTTACCACAATTTTTGTATCTTGTGACATAATAAGTATCCAGCATGTTTTCTTTGAGTATACAACTTCATTCAAGAAACAAGCCTAACTTATAAAACTTAGGAATTGTATGTTTTGTCTGGCAAGCACCTAGTGAGAGTAATTCAACACAGGGTTTTTTGTGTTTAAAATTTAAAAAAATTTGGTTTCAATTTTTCTGTCATTTGGCAAAACCAACACTGATACTATAGAAATAATAGTGTAAGAGGAACAAGTAGAATATCAGTATTGTGATGACACATTTATCATTACGATAAAAGGAAAGAGAGGCATATCATAAATTCTCGGATAAGATGATAAATACTAATAGATACTGGCAATGATAGAATATAGCGAAATCAAGTCAAAAAGGGCACAGCGATGAGTTGAGGGAATTGTTTCGTTTAGCGTGCAAGTGTGGTGTGCTAGATATTCTATGAAGCACCTTGCTTCTAAGGTTTGAATAGTACACTAGATTGCAAAGACAGATTAAAGCTTGTTTTTCCGTTCCTCCACTAGTGGTAATATTTGTTGACTGCCTCACCACAGAGGCGATGATTTTTAATACAGTACTTTTTAACTATGGTTTCGTAATATATCTCGGTCGCCATATAAACTTTGTAATGTATCCTGTTTATCTCTTAGTTCAATTGTGAGAAGCTCCTTGATTTGATTGCTTATTATTCTACAAGCAGTAGGTAATATTTTAACTTGATTTGGATGTACTGTTTAATCAGTGAGCATAAATAATTGTCTGGTAAATGCTTTTAATTTGTATCAAGTATTTGTATCAAGTTATTTTATTAGTGTACAGAAGCAATGGAACACCTCAAAGCAGTGTTATTTCCTCCTGCTGGTACTACAGTTCCCTAGCAACTGTGCTTCACTTTCTCCACCTTGTACCACAGTACCCTAGCCACTGTGCTTCAGTGTCTCCACCTTGTACCACAGTACCCTAGCTACTGTGCTTCAGTGTCTCCACCTGGTACCACAGTACCCTAGCTACTGTGCTTCAGTGTCTCCACCTGGTACCACAGTACCCTAGCTACTGTGCTTCAGTGTCTCCACCTGGTACCACAGTTCCCTAGCCACTGTGCTTCAGTGTCTCCACCTGGTACCACAGTACCATAACTACTGTGCTTCTGTTTGTTGCATGTTCTCTGCCGTGCAATGAATACTGTTGGCCATTTCAGTTGATTTGATCGTCCGCAGAATTTCCACACTTTTTATACAAGTACGAGGTGACTGATTCTTTTACTTGAGACTGTGTAATAATTATTACCAGATACATTGGAGGCAGCCAGAATATCTAGGGAAGATTCTGTACAAGACAACCTTATTAACGAGGTTGACGAGCATTCTAAGAAGACTTAAGCATCTCTGTTGAAGAATTATCAGTAGAATTAAGAGGTAGGGTTTCAAAGTGGTTTGATGAATAAGGTCTTGGATATTAGCTAAATGGTGTTTTGCTATAGTTTTTTGTGATTCAAAATTTATACCAGTTGAGGGCAAATTAAACACACGTGACAGTCACAGTAAAAATAGTCCACAGAGTATTCACGGGTGTTCACAAGTATTCACCCATACAGTCCAGGTGATTGGAACAATCACAGTAGTTACATTGTTAAGCACGTTACAAGCTCCATCAGGAAAAGTTAAGTGCTAATGTTGATGTTGCTGACTGGGAAGCTGTTGGTAGACTGACTCATATTTTGTGAGTTGCAGGAGAGGTGACATGGAATTGACATGTGTTGCGTGAGCGGTGTTAGTTTTAAACCACAGATAAAAAGCAAATACAATACTGAATGCATATTACAGTATGCACAATATGTATATTGTACACCATTAGAGCCGATACACAAGTTACATTCTTGTTGAGAAGGGTGCCAGCTTACTGTGGTGAACAACCTACAGACCTTTGTAAACTACTTTTCCAAAAGTTGACCAAAAGTTACACAGGGTCACTTGGTTAGTTTACATGTGAGAAGATTTGCTCTCCATTTTTATTGTTTAACAGGGTTCTGTTCTTTCATCACATTTTCTCTACATTTTAACTTTTTGGTCTTGTGTGTGATACTATTCACTCGTTAAGCTTTCCCTTTGTATTCCTGAGATTAGAGGTACAGTAGTGACACAAGATGGCTCTCAAAGTGTGAGTTTGGTTCTCTCGTTTTTCATTTTGACTCCGGAATGACATGGTAGTGTACGAGTGTGAGGAAGTGGCAGGAAACTCGCTGGTTTACCTCTTGGGCCACTGCCAAGGAGCCACAGGACAAATTACTTTTATTCTGTTCATGCAACTGTTTGGGGGCCGTGTAACAAATTGTTTTTATTCCACTCATGCTACTGGAAAGGAAATGCGTGACAAGTTGCTTTTATTATGATATTGCCATTACAAGGAAGCCACCCGACAAATTTGTATTCTACTTGTGCCACTACGCAGGCTCTGCCTTAGAAATTAATTATGGTACGCATATGCCACCTGACAAATCTTATATGCCCCTGCGAGGAAGCTACCCGAGAAATCACTTTTGTTCCACTCACTCTTCAGCACTTAAGTTTTTTCCTCACTCTTCAGACGCAAAGCTGCACATTTTGCTGGCCATTGTCAATACAAATCAATAATTTTATTTGTTATTACAATATCATTTGAATTACAACATTTCAAGGACTGTTCTAGTTAAACATCAGCATTTTGAAGAATTTGTCTATAACTCGCCACATGGCTCGGTGTCACTGCATCATTACGAGTGCATTACCAGGTAGTGCCTGCTTCACCAATATGAAAATAAGATTAGGATACAAAATTCTGTTGAAATTTTATATTTCTAACGCTCACTGGCGGGTAAATGATTAATGTGGCATTTAAGTGTTTGGGGAAGAAGAGTAATGTCCCATGTTGATGTGAGAAGATTAATGTCTAATGGAGGGAGAAAGAAGCAGTGGCTCGGTGTAGGTGGTTTTATTTGGTATTGTTCATTCATTTTCTTAATTTTTTGTTATTCATTTGCACTGCAGGTACAAATATTTAAGTGCTGCAGTATACTATGACATGTATAACATTTATTATATGATTGTTCCATAGTTTTAATTGTACACAGCAAATTTCTGTGTTTGCTCTCTTAGTGAAGTGATGAAATGTATATCTTTACTTTGTTGAATTTTTAAGCAATATGTATACAGTACATGGTTTAGAGAAAGTATTGACCTAATTATGATATTTTATTTAATCATTTGTGGGTTGTTGAGTGGTAGGGCACATAATAGGCTATCTTTTGTAGCTGAAATACAGTACAGAAATATAGAAAATTAATGTTTTTCAACTCTTTGCAGTCAATATAAGTGAATATTCTCATTATGCAGTTTAAGAATCGTTGCTTTCATAAAATTGTTTCAATTCAATAAAATGGAAGCTTGGCATCAGCAAATACTTTGGCATGTATGTGCCTATCCGTCCGTGTTCGATGTCCCTACAAACCTCACTTGTAACGCCTCTACAAGTAGGCCGGAACGACTCTACAAGTAGGCCAGAACAACTCTACAAGTAGGCCAGAATGCCTCTACAAGTAGGCCGGATATGTTGGCAGTTGTCAGATAAATGGCATGAAGATAATCATGTTTTATTTAGTATGCTTTTAATTTTGCTGAATGGCTACTGTAGATATCTACCTGAAGGACTGTATTTATATCTGATTAGATATATAGTATGTCTAGTTGAAGGACTTCAACTCCAACTATACAGCTCCAAGACTAGAAATCTACCTTAACACTAGGTAGATGAAAAGGTAAAATCTCTTTCGCAGTGAAGTTTGATCGAGGACATTTCGTCAAAATGGACACATTTCTAGTACTGTTAACTAAATTGTATTTGGAGGACAAATACCTGTTTGTTTATTTTTATATTACATTTTGAAAGGAAGACCACAACTATTGTAATTGTACAATTCCAATGCTAATACAAAATAGGAAGTTATTTTGAATTTCCCCTTTAAGGTAAATAAGAAATGTATTTAAAATTAGCAGTGTAAAAATGTCAGTGTGTTTCAGATGGTAAAATAAGAGGTGCAGTATTCGCTAGATAACTAGGATTAGGAATTATAATAAATATCTAGATGTTCTTGGCTGTCCTGGTGGTTTTGCAATTGTTAAAATGTTGTCGTATTATTGGTTCCGTCGTTCTCTTTGAGAGTTTAACGTGGAAGATCAGATCAGGC